GGGGGGGGGGGGGGGGCATTGTTACACAATCCTTTAAATACTAACACCTTCAAACTAAACTCATGCATCACTGTAGGTTATTGCTCCTAAATCTCTAAGTCGGATACAATTTTATGGATTAAAATAGAACGCTCTGAATCCCCCAAAACTATGAGGTAATATGTACAATGAAAATGTGGCGGTGAGAGCTTCATTCTAGGACTACAGCACCATGGTGGATCCCGACCAAGGTCTGCTCTGAATTTAGGACTCCTCCAAAGGTGGTCTGGTAGAGGAGCTTACGTTCCTGGGAGGCGTTTGGGATTTTATCACGTTTAAAGTCTTTAAAATGGATCTGCTCGACGTGTTCATGCGCTAGGTTTGAGGGCCGTGTGTAAATTTGGTGTGTCTAAAAAAGCAAAAAGGTGCAGTAAGTCAGTTCACCACTCATTTGTTTTTACTGTAACAGCTTTCTCTTTTTTCCTTTTCTTCTTCTTTTTTTTTTTTAAAGCTCCAGCTTAGCCTAGATACCGTTTTTACTATCCTTCATGAAGCAAGCATCACTACTGGTCATGCATGGCTACTATAATGTTGGCACCACAGTTCCGCTAAATAAGCTAATGCACATGAGTCTATACATATCTTAATGGAAGACATTGGTGATTTTGTTGCTTTCAAACAACTTGTCACTTGTTTATACAATATACAGTTTGGTCAACAACATGACAGTTAAGATCAAATATTGCACAGATCCCGGTAAAGTGTGAATTTCCTTTTTTTCCCCATTCTTCTTCCCCCCTAAAGATATATAAAATCTCAAGAGTTATGGCACAAAAAAAAAAATTAAAAGGGTTTACGAACTACCTGCGGCGTGGTCGGGATGTTCCACTTTTACATCTGTGGGAGAAAGTAAATGTTTGTAGATGTAGGAGGAGAGAGGAAAACCAGGCCCAAAGCGGAAAAACATCCCAAGTGGCTAAATTTCAATCTACTTTCGATCCACGCCAAGCCTGAAACGCTACAAATAAAGGTAAAACGAACTATTTTGTACCCTCCCCATAAAAGTAAACACAACTTTTGACATTTTTTCCCCCTTCTAAAAAAGACAAACTGAAAATCAACCACCTACATCAAGCTGGAATCTTAATTATAAAAATAAAAAGTATGAAGAACTGCTCAGGTGCTTCACAACCATTAAGCTACTTGTCTTGGTCTTGCTCCTTTTTTTTTTTTATCTAGTCAGACTTTCTGTGGCAATGAGGTAGTGCTAAACTAAACCAAAAAAAAAAGATTAATCTAATTTAAATCACAGACCTTGATTTTTGCTACAGTATCTTGTGTCCTTTTTTTGCTCCCCACAGAAAACAGGAGTACCGTAGATCATTTGTTCCTCAGCATCAAATCACAGTTTTTTGGGGGGGAAGTCATAGCAACAAATTTTCCATGCACAAAAAAATAAAATTTTTTTACCCAGAGCAGATATTCAGTGGTTTTTCAGACAATTGGGTGGCTTGGAGCCAATAGGTGGACATAATCAGAGCATGCACCTCTGAGGGTCACGCTTCGTCCAGATGTTGGCAGCTGCCCTCATTAACAATCCGGCTGCGGAATCAGACCGGCAGTAGATGGGATGCTGGGATGGAGAGAGAGCATGTGTCCCAGAAACAGCAGGAAGGAGGAGAAGTGGGTTTCAGAAGCCCAGAAAGAGGTCATCCTGACTCTTCCTTTGTGGGTCCGGGTGGAGGTGGAGTGTGGTGGAGCTGGGTCTGCACAAAGATGGGAGAGATCATTCATCTCTATGCTTCAGCTAGATTTCACCACTAAGTTGGCTGGATGTCTTCTCCTAGAAATACTAGTCACAGTTTTTTTTTTTTTTGGTAAAGCTAATTTTGAATTGAAGCCAACCTGCAAAATGACCTTAAATGAAGGCAGAAACCCCTTCAGTAAAGTGGCGTTAAAAGACAATGCCACCAAACGAACGAATAAATCAAACTATGATTCTCTGAGGATTTTCCCCTAGATAGAAAACCCGGAAAAAATCGGCACGACTTACAGTTTCTTTATATGCATACACACATCTATATCCAACACCGTCTACAACTCTGCTCAATTCCACTTTGAGGGAACAAAATAAATGTTCTGACTGAGGCACTGACCTTGACTTGAGTTGGTCCGAAACGATGCAGAGACATTCCCCCCCCTGCGTCTGGAGCTGTACCTGCACACAATGGTAAACAAAAGCCGGGGATTCTTCCTCCATAGCGACACATTTGGGTCTGTTGAAACTGGAGGATTTTCGGGTTTCTTTCGACGAGGGAGGGGGGGACGGGGGTATTTGGGGGGGACCATATCGCCGAAGACTAATTCTTTCAGAAAGCAAAGTCAAATCCTGCGGACCCCCTTCCCTCCCCGTCGCACGAGCCGAAGAGGAGAGAAGAAGGTCCAGTCGTCCTCTTTCTCCGCACACCGCCCGCTCTACGCCATTTTTGCTCCACTACTACGAGCCAGCGGAAGAATGCGGTGATTGTGGCGGGGACCTGTCAATCAAAGCTAAGGCCCGCCCCGGAAGCAAACTTTCTTCTCTTTGTCCGTTATAAGTTATCGCTTAAGATTCTTGCGCTTTACTGACCCTAATTTATTTCAAATTTCCCAAAAATAATTTTTTAAAACACGAGTACTTAAAAACAATAGAGCACTAGAGTCACCCCTGGATTAATTTGATGCCGTTTACCAGGTGCTGATATTAATCATTTTTAACAATTAACCCATTATCTGAAAGAAAGCAGCTTTAATGTTAAGGAAATGCTATTTATGACTAAAATCCCCCACTTTTACGTTTTCCAGTCAAATGAATGAACACGGGAAGTGGCTCACCGTTCTCTAATGTGTTGGAAAAGCTCAAAGTGAACGCATACACAGAAACCAGATTTCACATGGCTTACCAATTAAAGACACAAAGAATTCTTGGCACTTATTTTATTCAAATCAAATTCATGATTGATATCTACAACCCCACCACATAACAAGTGGATTACATCTGACTGATGATCACATAATGATTAATAAAACGGTTGAGTGTTTTTCCTGCAATCAGCTGTGGAGGGTGTAATGATTCAACAAACTCACATTAAAGATTAAAAGAGGTCTGACAGCCACACTCTGGTTCATGTTTACAAGCCTTTATAGGATATATATATATATATATATATATTCTTTAAGCATTTGATTCTGTTCAGCATCTGTAGCAACTCAGTTCGGATATCAAATACATGATAAATACTGAGCAGTACTAGAAATAACATTTTTCTTAAGCCAGTGGAGACAGAGGCGTACCATCTAGCGTGCCCCTGCCAAACCTCCATTACAGGAGCCAACACTCAAAGCCACACTTTTATTGAGTCCATCAAAAAAAAAATGTTGATAATCTTTGTGAACGTAGGTCAGATTGGCAGCTAAATCTGGCCTTTTTCCAACTTCAGCAACTGCTGGCATGGGTGCTAAATCTTCTAAATCCACGCGTTAAACTGTACGCAAAGAGGACATTGCTGTTATATTTGCTTTGCTTGGAGTCCGACAGTTGAAACAGACAAAACTGTTCTGGTGGATTTACAGTTGTTAACCAAATGGAACAAGGCTTTGGGCTCCGTCTGAAAATAAGGGCAACCAAAGTCATGGCACTTGAGTGAGAAAAACAAGCTGAGGGGCAGGTCCCGCTTTCCTTTTGGCGACCGACTTACGGGTGGCTGAGCATCAGAACAGACCGTTAGCATTAAAAACACTTGACTTTTCAGAAGCGGAATCACACCTAACACTTTGAACTACTGGGTATTCATACAGACAACGCAGGATGAGATAAATATTAGTGGAGCACGAGTGAACTTGGAACAAAAGCAAGAGGCTTTGTAGTACCGGGCAATGAAATTATTTCACCACGTGGAAAGTAGAGCACCAGGACCCACCATTACCCTTGAAACGTTTTCTAATAAATAGTATTGAGTTACTGGGAAAATATACATATGATGACGTTTCATCAAAACAATCCAAGGCACACAGCTTTTCCCTTTGTTTACAGAACAGTGCAAAGGCAGAAAGCTACCAAATGCTCGATGTGACGGCGTTTACTACTAAAGTGGGGCATGGCGGCCCGCTGAGAAGCTGGAGGAGGTTGTGTCCCGACGTCAACAGTGAGGTTCAAGCTCCACTCAAAATGTGAAGAGAAAAAAAAAAAAAGAAAAAAAAATACCTAGTGCAAAAACCGGATGCTCATTTTCTGTTCCACGTCCACCTTTTCCAAGACCTAAAGAAAACAAAGAACAAAGCAAGATAATTCTTAAAGAGTACTAAACAGACTTGTTTTCTTATCAAATTTTAGCCCGAATATTGTAGGGTTTGCTCCAAAAAGTGGGAGTTTAACTTGTGAGAAGTGTGCAAGTTCACATTTTGCAGTAAAAACAGTAAAATAATAGAATAAAAAAAACAAGCCTAGAGCAGTGTTTCCCTGTCACCATGGTGACAGGGGAGTCTGCTTAAGGTTAAACGTTGGTAAAGACACCCATAATTCTGGTGATCACATCATGGAGGAAAAACAGATTGAATCACAGCCTAAGATTTGTCCGAACTTGACTTTAAATCCCTGCGTTAATGGCTGGTATGACCATTCAGGACACGTGATCGCTATTTAAGCGCACAACTAAATCCAGACTGCTGAATTCTGTGTGAAGTAAAGGCTAAATGATTATCAAAAAAATCTAGAAAATGGACTTGCTTCAAGCTCTTAAAAAAAAAAAAAAAAAAAAAAACTTAAGAACAGTTTGTCCTCAACAAAAGTAATTCATTTTCAACAAGTATCATGAATCCGCGTCCTCCTTTGCTTATATGCAAATCCATACAGTACTATGGAAAAAAAAAAAAAAAAAAAAACTCATCTAGGAATACAGACCAACTTGTTTCATGTAAACTGCTGTGCTTTGTATGCGGTGGCCTCGCCTGAGGGTTTTAACTAGAAATCAAACCTAGACGTGGTGAACGCGGAGCTAGGGGCAAAAGCTTGCCTTCATGAATTCATTGAAGGAAATGCAGCTGTCTCCGTTGGTGTCGGCCTCCTGGATGGTCCTGTCGGCAATGCTCCCCAGCTGATCGTCCGAAATGTTCACGCCGACCATCATCCGTAAAACCTGTAAGGAACAACCAGTGAAAACAATCCTCCTGAGGGTTAAATGGAGGCGACGTGTACCTCTCTACCGTGTGCCGAGATGCCGTGAAAACAAGGGTAATGGTACACGTATTGTGGCAACATGTGATCATTTGTAACTATTTTGGGTATCTGGCATGCGGCTGTAAGAATGACATGATTATGAAAATAACAGAGCGACAAATTTAGGAGGAAAAAGGAGGACGCAAACAGTACTTTGAGTTACACGTGTCGTCTTGTAGACTTGTGAAAGAGATGAAGCGGGATGACACAGGGTTGTTTTGCGCAAAACAAGGAACGCGTCTGAGTCATTTAACCCCCTCCCGGCTTACACCAATTGCAGGTCGCGCAATGTCACCAAAAGCCAAGGCGGTAACAAATAACAGAGGGAACGCACAGGAAACCGATAGACAAGATAATAAGACACCAAGATGGAAAAGGCAGATCATCCTGCTGTTAAGGCGAGATATCATATCATTATCAGTAACAAGGCCAAAGTTCTTTTCATTGACATGGAAGCCCTGATCTAAGCAGGACTGCTTTGGGGGGGGGGGGGGAACTAACAAAAACACTATTCGTCCATTTGATTTGTCGCCGAGCAAGTCAGACCGGCCGACTTCAAGTCAGCCCCCGTGGGCAGCAACACGCTCAGTGGCAGAGATACGTAAACCGAATGAGTTGAAGAGCTATTAATGGACATGAGGTGCAGTGTGACCAACAATGACCGGTCTGCCCGCTCACCTGCAGCAGCTCGTCCCGAGATATTTTGTCATCTCTGTCCAGGTCGTAGAGCCGGAAGGCGACTGGGGAGACAAATGACACAAGTGAGTCACGGGGAGTCGCGGCCACAGACCACAGGGCCTCGGCCAGGCCGGACACTCACACAGCAGCTTGTTCGTCCGGCTGTTGAGCGGCTCCGAGGCGGGGGAGTTCTTGCTCTTCTCGTTGTCCTCGATCGGCCTGAAGTGAGCCAAGGTGCGCATGAAGCCCCTGAAGTTCACCTGGTCCTCTCTGTGGACAGAAAAACAAAATAACAAAAACAAAACATGAACTGCGGGTTCCTGGTCGATGTGTTCTTTTTTTAGTGGCTCGGATTACATATTGACTCAACATAAAGATATGGGGGCAACAGAAGGACGACTAAAAATTGTATTATGGTAACATAACACCATTGTACTAAATAGAACCCTCTTCTCCGTTTTCAGATGGAAGCAAACAGGCCAAAAGCAGAGGCAAATTAACCTATTTGAAACCATGAAAAACCAACGGCTGGGGTTGAAACGCCCACACTAAGGACTTTTTGGGACTTTAATGACACACATCTGGCTTTTGGACTTCCTTTCCAAAAAGAAAGAAAAAATACGACAACTTTTTTCCAGCACACATGTCAAACCCCGCTTGATTTATTCTACTTGGGCTTGGCAGAACAAAACTGGCCTCTCATGTTTACAGCCAATGAGCCACAACTGAAAAGTGCTGCGGTTCAGAGTTGTGGCCGGGGCGACTCAGAACTGCAGCAGGGTGCCCCACTTACAAAGACCAACCAAAAAACACTTAAAAAAAATAAATAAAGGGTAAAGCTCACCCCTCTGGAAAGAAGGCGTTGATGATTCTGTCCCCCAGAGGATTGATGGCCAGCTCGGGGATCCTTTGGAAATCCTCTCGACTGCAGATAATATCAGGAAATGAGTACAACCGAGTCCTAACTAAGATCATTTGCCAAAAGAATCCTTAATAAAATCAAATACTGTGATAAGAGCGAAATATGGGAGACATGATACGTTGTTATCGTTAATCCAGACAACATACAGGGGGAAATGTATTTGCAAATTGTGCAATCAATGCTTCCGGATGAATTGGGCATAAGTCTGTGGAGGTATATGCAAAAGCCTGACTGTTGTGTCAACTTCAGAATGATAAGGACAGAGAGCAGCCCGGGCGGCTTCGGCTTTGACCGAAAGCGCCGGAACAAGGACAAGCAATACCAAGAAGCTGTTTGGGGTAAACACCAAATCTGGCCTACCGTTGACCCTAAGTGGGGGTTAAGCTCCTCCATCCTATTCAATCATCTATCACTTGGCACAGAGCCAGAAAAGAATCCCCCCCCAAATACTCCCCTGTGGCTGCTTTCAGACGTACACCTTCAAGATAAACTTCTTTGACACAAAAGGGAAAATCCTAAGCATGAACAAGCAATGGCTCGACTAATTTATGTTAAAGCCATGCTCTTCTCTCCTGTTTTGGCGACAGCATGTCACCAAAGTTCTGCGTATGGAAATCCCTTCACCCTCAGCTGGATTTAAAAAGCTGTGGTGATGATGACGTTAATCATTCCTGAGGGGGATTAACCATTAATCTGTAATGGGAGCTGGCTTGCAGCTTTTAGGCTGCTGTGTGGTGGTGAAGTGTCCAGGTGAAAGCAGGGCTCTTTCCTCTTACCTGAGGGTGCCGTTTTCTCCTTTATCCAGGCTGGTGAAGCGGCTGTACAATCGAGTGATCTGGCTGTGGGAGACTGTAGGGAAGACACCGTAAAGATAAGTTTCAGCCTCTCACCTAAATGCTGCAACTCATCACCCAACACAAAGGCCCATTAAGTAAGCCTCAGAAGTCCCCAGTTTAATATCCAATAACACGGACAACACCCAAAAAGCAACCAGCGTGGATTCGCTTTAAATACGAACACTGGTCAGGATCATTTACTTCCAGTGAATTGAATGTTTGATGGATAGCTAAGCAACACAGCCTAGAATCTGTTCAAGACCGAGTGTGGGCTCAACTTACAGCCAGTCTCTTTCTTTATTTCTTCGATTTCTTCTTCTCGAAGTAACGTGGACGCCCTGGATCCCATGACGAAATGTTAAAAGCCAATCGACCTGCTTGCCGTGTTGTGAAACGGGGCCAGCTGAGAGCGAACGTTGTACGGCAAGCGGTGTTTAAAGTTAGCCGACAAGCTAATGGGGCGATCTTAAAAAAAAACACCTGGTCGGTAAGCGGCTTCCGTTTGGTTGTAAAAATCGTCCTGAATTACAAACGGGCGCAGTTTAGAGCAAACGGGCGGGTTTTCTAGCTTTCTGTCGACGCGGCTTGACCGGTAATGTACGTGCTGTCAGAGTTGTCCTTCAGCCAGGCGTGATTTCATGTTGCCAAATCGAGTTTCGGTCCCGTTGTCTTCCTGTTTAATACAGTGGGCGGGATTAATGAGGCCGCCTCCCTGGAAGGATGGCGTCATTGGATTTAGGTGCCCAAGTCTTTCGCCTGCTTAAAAGAGTTTTAGAATTTTTGTATGTTTTTATATCAACATCACTACTACTGCGGCTGCCATTGCTATCACTAATAATAATAATAATAATAATAATAATAAAACTAAGCACTTAAAAATGAGACATTTTTCAGTAAAACACAATTCGAATTAGATCAACTTCATTGCTATCACAGCTGGGAATTTCATAGAAAGATAAAATGTGTCCTAAAGGTTAAAAGATTTTTAAAAAATTGAGGATAACTTTCAAAAGTGTCAGCTGTTTTGTGTACAGTTTTCCAGTGTTTCTTTTATTTTGCTGTTCATTTAGGTGCTCCATGGTACATTTCTATTCACCTTCTGGTCCCTTTATAGTATTTAAGATGTGGTATTACTGTACATGTTTGGTTTAATGTCTGTTTTGTCTATTTTTTTAACCTAATTAACCTCCCCTCAGATGTGCAAAAGTGCAACTGAACACCTAAACTATTGGGCTGATAGTTTAAAAACCAAATAATTCTTATTTGTGTAAAAACTATGTGTAATCAGCTGATAAAAACATAAGGATCCCACATTTCTTTGTAAAAAATAAAATAAAAAAATCAATAAATGAATGGGAGGGGTCAGACTATTTCTTTCCTCAAAATGTAAGTAAACATTTGACCACTTGGAGTCACAATTTCATTAGGTTTAGCCTCTTATTTTATAGAAGTGACACAGCACTTCAATTTAAGACTGATACCAGAAATTATACAGAGACAGGAAGAGAATTTACATTAAAACCAATCCAGCACGCATAGTCAAAGAAAAGACAGCTAATGAAGGATCCAGCACCAAATAATCAAAGAGTCTGACACAATTTAGTTCATTTGTTCATTCTGTGGTCTGGCTAATAGATCAAACTTCCAAGGAAAAGTCTTAAATGCAATAACAACGGATAGTTTCCTTTTCGGTCTCCAGTTGATCATTTTAAATCAATGATTCCCACTCAGTCTGTTCTGTTTGCTTTTTCTTTTCCATGAGAACTTCAAATAAAGTAGGCATCAGGCCAAATTCCTCATAACTCAACAAACATTGTGTCAATCAAACATTGTTGCTGGGAACACAATTCCAAAAACTAAAACCAAGAGCAATGATGGGTTAGATTTGTCCTACATACTTGGACAAAATTTTAAAAATAAATGGAAAAAAAAAAAAAACATTATCAGAGACAATAAAACATCATCCAAAAAGTCTTTACAGTGATAGTGCAACTCATCGTAAAATAAGTGTAAAAATTCTCAGTAAAATCAAACAAGTTTAAAAAACTACAGCGTTATAGTGTGTTTGAAAAAACAAAACAACAACATTAGCCCCACATCAGATTGATTCTCAAGCGGTCCAAGTAAAGCTCATTTCTTCCCACGTGGAGGGAGTTGGTTCATTCAGACCCAAGTGTTTTTTTTTTGGTAGACGTCCTTTTAGTTTCTGAAGGAGCACACAGATTCCATGGCCTGGTGGATCCTGCAGAGCGACACAACAAAACAAAATTACCACGCGGGCCGCTTGTGGCACCAGAGAAAGACCTATGTGCAAGATCTTCTGATGTCTTCCACACAAATGCATTAAACCCACAAATATGTTTAATGTGCAGGTGAAAAAAACATGGTTACCAATAAAAAAAACTAAAAAAAACAGAAACAAGTGGGAATAAGGGTTTACAGTTTTCATTAAAACCCTAGTAATGGTCTAAGTGGCAACATTTCCCCATTTTTATAACTATAAATGCTTATTGGCAATAAATAAAATGCTTACAAAAAACAATCTGGAAATTTCTGACACATTTTAAATTTGACATTTAATCATCCTACATGAATTACAAAGGAACAATCAAAGGAAGTAGGCCATACCTCTGTACAGGGAATCCCCTTTCACACAGGTTCACCAGAGCATACAAATGTCTAAGGGCATATTCATACTGAAAAAACAGAACATCAATTGTCAGTCTGAATTTTACACAATCACCTTCTGTCTATCACATTTATGTCACATCAAATGCCAGGCAGTTCCAGTTAAACAGGGAGATTCAAAATTCTTTTTCTGTGAAGGATCAAACAGCTTTAGAAAGCACCTCGGGAATCTGGAGGTTATTGTGCATGATAAAAAGACTGTGGTTTTGCAGGAATTTGACACTCTTAAGATAACAGGCATTCTTCAGCGGCTGGGTGAAATTTCTGACATTTCCCTGTGCTATTTTTGAAATGTATAATTTACATTGTTTCCTTTTTCTTCACAGTAGTGCACTCAAATGTCTTAATCTTATCGAATGTTAGTGATCTGAATGCAAACTGTAAACTTTAAATAACTTTTTACTAAGGGTTTCTTCAGTTGTAGTGTCTGCATACGTTTGTATGAGCACTGAAAAGTAAAAACTGTTTAGCAACTTTAAGCGAAAACACTTTCTTTTTTTAGACTTAAAAGATTTGACATGTTTATGTAAAATAATAAGTTGAGGAAGTGAGTCTAGATTTGAGTCAGCTGAATGCAAAATTGCAGATGAGCGGGTGCGTGTTTAAACCAAAGAAGCAGAACCAGACTGTAAACGCGTGAGTTTCAACCATCGGGTAACAGATGGATCCGGGCAAAAGTGTGATTCACTGACCACAGTTGCATCACTGCACTTTTACATTTGTCCCCAATTGGATTTCATGGGGGAAAAAAAAAGAAAAAAAAGACTCGCTCTGACACTTTACCTCCGTTTTGTGCCAGTTGAAGCAGTGGCGTTTGTAGAAGTCGACAGCAGCCTTGTAGCACTGGTGCTGGGAGAGATCTGCTCTCTCACTGAGGACGGCCTCGGCCTCCAGCTTACTGCCGGTCACCTTCTCGACCAAAAGACGCATCGTTCCAGCCAGCAGCTCCTTGGTCTGAACACAGAGGTCACACATAGAACACGGTGAGGGTTCAAAGCCATGATGCAGGACTTTGAGCGTTCAAAGTCCCGCCAACATATCGCTGCTCTTTACCTTGAGGTGGCTGTCAATCTGAGAGAGCAGTCTCCTTGCGACAGTAATGTCGTTGGTGGACATCATCCTCCTCTTCAGGATGGCCAGAGGAACGTCAGGGCTCGGGGTCAGATCCATAGCCTTACCCCGTGGCGCGGACATCCGGGGAGCGGGTGGGCTGTAGGATTTGGGATTACCCTGAAACGCTATAACTTTCATGTGGGCCAAAGTCTGCAGACAAAGAAGGGGACAAACATGACACGCTGTATAAAATAAAATAAAAACTCAAACATTTTTTTCTGTGCTGTTGCCGTCAGGCTCCCAATCTCCCTGTGAACTTATAGTGATTTGGAGATGGCTGGTGTATAAGCCCGCATCTGTGGTGTAGAGGCTACTCTGGTCTCTCACCTTGTTGCCGAACTGCTGGACGTGGCTGGTGTTCGTGTGGCTCTTCACGATCTTGAACTGCTTCAGCAAAGTCTCTTTAGTCAGGTCCTCCTGAAAATACGAGGTGCGATAAGCAAATGGGGCACAGTGTGATGGTATTTTGATTTAATCATATATGATGCATTTTCGGTTTCAGTTCAACTTTCTGTTATTTAAACAAGGTGAATGGGGGGGGGGGGGGGTACTCGGCTCATTCTGCTGGTCAAAAACAAACCGCATCCTTTTCCTGTCTTTTCAGGTTTGCACAAAAGAAAAAAAGAAAAGAAAAGGGAGAAATTTTGGCGTGATGAGAGGGTTAAGAGTCATTCAGAGTTGAAGCACAGAGTTGTTCGACCTAAAAGGTCAGTGAGCAGCAACAACTGATAGAACAGAGCTCAGTAGGAGTTGTGAATCCAGTTCTGCAGTTTTGATAACTGGTATAAGCCACCCCTCAGGACTGACTCAGAATATCAGGTCTCTATAGAACAATACTCTACGCCTCAAAAAGGCAGACTCAGATTACCAGTACTTTATCTACAAGTACTGTTTGGATGAACGGGCACCAGCCAATCCTGACTACTTGCAGGGTGGGCCTCTAACAAGTTACAGAAGAAACCAACTCAAGTTGGAGAGGCAAGTTACCGCGTTCCGCTCTGCTGGTTCAACTGGTTGATGGGATATGTTCTGTTCATGAGTTTAGACCCCGGAAGCATTTGTGTCTCGTCTAAAGATGTTAAAACTACAAGGAAAGGGGATTCAGGTGATCACAAACGCCACACAGGACCAAAGGTCGCCATTTTTACATGTCCTACCCACTGACAGCTGGGTTTGGCTGGAAGCTACTCAAAGAGAGACATAGTTCCATCACTTATCTGAGAACCCACGCGAGAGCCAGCAGAGGTGTTCCCCAGGGAAAACAGAGTGACTCAAAACGTTTGTACACTTCTTTCCGAGGAAGCGGCTGCTCATAGGGGCAGGCTTTTCACTGAGCAGTGAGTCCTCTTCACAGGCAGACTTTCTCTCTCTGTGGGCATACCATACCCATTTGTTACTGCATCTTCTGTGAAATGCGATCCCGATTTCCAGGATCAGTGAAGGAAAGCTAGCAGCCCCGATCAATATTTTACTGCCGCTTGTTCTTTGCGAGATGAGCGAGGCAATGTGAGCTAGGCCACGTCAGACAAATAGAGGAAGTGCAGGAAGACAGAGAAATGTGTTGGAGCTGATAAACATAATTATGATCAAATGAAATGAGGAAGTGGTTGGAGAGTCATGCCTAATGCAGTGTTAAGGCCATGAGAAAAGCCGGTCTGTTAAGTTTACAAAGATGGGTTCTGGTGTTCAATCCTTACATAGAAGTAACATAGAAAAAAAACTTTTTCTTAGATGTCATGCAATAAATGCTGGTTCATTTCTTATGGGGTAAATTTAGTTAGCTTTCGACAGACTGAGGCTTGCTATCACCTTTGTCCAATCTTTATACCGACTACCTTCAGGCGACAAACTTAACGATTACGACTGTGCAAACTTGTTTGCACATTATTCAAAGCACTTAAGTTGTGCCAGTATTTTTCCTCCTACATTCAAGAAACTTGAATTGTCAGTATCAGAGTCATTCCCAAATTCCAGGAATGAACCTCTTTGATTTTGTGTGATGATGATTTTCAGAGTTATTTTAAAAGAAGCTTTCGGTAGAGACTTATTTGATTATTTGGACAGAGCGGGGGAATCATCACCCACCTCATCAGAGTCCTCCATCCAGTTAACGCTGTACCAGTCACCCAGGTAGGTGTCCCTCTTCTCGTCGTAATAGCAGGCGTATGAGGACTCGTGCGCGTTGGCGGCGGTGGTGGCGTACACTAAAAAAGACACATTAAAGGATTGCCATGCATGCTAGTTCTGACAAAATATACATTTTAATTTAATTCTGATCAATTCCACCCTTAGCAAAAAAACAGCCTACAGTTCAAAGTCTCATGTCTAATTGTAATCACATGACACCACCCATATGATAGTGTGACTGCTCACATATGACTCCAAACCAAGATGCTGACTTAAGGGTTTTAGAAGGCAAAACTAACAGATTAAAGAAGAATAACAAAAAGAAATGGGGAAGCCATGTTCACGGTGAGGGTTTAGGCCGTTTATCTACAGAGGACGTTTCATTGATCTCTGCTCTTTATCGTCACTTTGTTTTCCTGGAATTTCATCCTGATAGAGAAGGGTTCCACTCACCGTCAATGTCAGCAGGCAGATGGTTCATCATTGACCCGGACTCACATGCTTCAATGTAGAACACCATCTGAGTTAAAAAAAATAAAAAAATGTTACGATCCAATATTTAGCACGAAAATAAACAAACTGCAGCGTGCTGCATTTGCATTACACAAAAAACAAAGTACCTTTTTGTATTTCTTGTTCTCATGCATGTACGTAATGGCTGCCTGGAGATCTTCAACGTGGAGCTGCCGATGCAAAGAGAGCAAGTTAACTTTAAAAAACTTACAGTTTCAGAGCAGCTGAATCACCACATGTATCCATGTTTCAATGTGCCTAATATAAGTTGTTCACATTTCTTTAATATAAAACCTGCTAGTGTTTAAAGTTTGCTTCATTGACAAAAACAAAAATTGCCCTTACATCATCATTAGGAAAGGCCAGAAGACCGGGTGCCCCGTGGTCGGTAAAGTAGACAAACACGTGATCATTGGGACCACTGCCAAGAGATTCAGTTTACAAATTGAAACCTGATGAACCAGATCAAGTGTTGTTCTAGTGTCTGACATTAAATAATTTACAGACTCGCATTAATTCTTCTTTATTTTTAAAAAGAAAGAAAAAAAAAAAGAAGAAAAATTCACCTCTTCAACACTTTGCCAGAACCACCCTTGATGTTGGAAGAGTCACCCTTCAGCACCGCCAGGAAGTGTTCCGGGGTCACATCCTGCCACAGCCAAAACACGGTCAGAAACAAGCAAAGCCTGTCCAAACAGCCCGTTCCAGACCCATCCAATCAGGAGGTGTGATTTGCACTTTAAAGAAATGTTTGCTGGGAATCACTCACGTCCCCAATGTAGTCTTTTGGTACTCCCTTGTACACATCAGTGCCATTTGGCCTGTTGATCAATATCCCGGGGGTGGGGTTGCTGGTGGAAAAAGAAGGATGGATCAGAGGAGGAAGCGGAAATGCTTGACAAAGCACTTTTTTGACATAACAGAGATGGAGGACAATGATTCACTTATCAGGTGACAGCATAAACCTCACATGACTTCTTTTTTTTTTTAACCCATACCATCCCATAAAGAATTTGCTATGAGTTACTTTACAGGATTGAATGCATTTAACACTGCCATGTCACAGGAAGTCATGATCTCTGTCCTTAAAAAAAACAAACAAGAAAAATAAGTTTTAAATGGATACTAATTTCTGTCTTCTGAAAAGAAAAAAAACTGCTCCCTTGCTTGCAGGACTGGTTATTTATTAACTGCCAGCAGAACCTGACTATGATGTCAGTCACAGTTACAATATAACCAATATTGCATAATGTTTTTGAAAGACTTGACCCACTTTTTGAAGGGAACATGGAACATTATCCACCACCGGGACACGGAAATGATCAATAACTGCACTGTAACAACACTCCTTGTTCTTAGTATTCACTTAACCGGAAGCTTGGGTACACTCTTCAACACTAATGAACTGTCATTCAAGAAAATTAATAATACTAAATACTGTCTTGTTGGTCAGTGTCAGTCGACATCACCTTGTTGTGATAAGAAAGAACAATGGATTGTAGAAACTTGTGATTACCCTGAAAAGATAAGTCGGTCGATAAACTACACGTTTCAAAAGGTCTTACTACCATAAAAAATGATTGGTAAATAAAAGTAAAAGTTTATTAGGGTTTAAGTAGCTTCCCGTGTATATGATGTTGAGATTCTTATTAAATCAAAGCTGTTACGGTGTGAAATATAAAGCTATTCCCAAGCAGTGCTGTCCCTCTGTCAGTGGCAAGCGAGCTCAAATTCTTAGGACCTTCCATAATTGCCTCCTTGTGACTTTAATGTAGTCAGAGTGAATGACACAAGGCCGACATGCCGCAGCAACGCGAGAAAATGCCAGAGTCTGAGTGAATTTCTCAGACGGTTATATATGATGTGAAAAAAGGGGCCTCTGGAAAAACCTAAAATGAGCCCTGGACAAAAAAAAGAAAACTAGATCATGGCACCAGATTTTGACCCAAACCAACTCGATTGATATTCCGTCTACCATTGCACACAAAATGATCATCAAAGGCACTAATAAAAGAGTTGAATCCTGAAAGTAGCTTTTTTTAGCAAGTTGCCTCAATGATAGCCTTTTAAGGCCATCAAATGGAAACTGTTTTGCATTAACATGAATGTTTTTCCTCGTCTTGCATTCACAAAAGTCCTGAAAAGTTCTGGATTTACACAGCTAATAAGACCAAGGAAGTCATCTGAGGATACATGAGAAGCTGTGAAAGTGTGACGGTCACACATGAAATGATTCATTTGAGGAACACAAATGGCAAATGTTGAAATGAACGTTTACAGCTAGCTTTTTCCATAAGTATACACAGACAATTTACAGGTAAAATGAAACAAAGGCTTAGCAAACAGTCATTTGGAGAACTTAAGACTTCGTCGAACAGCTAAAGCTCGTTTTATATTCTTGTTTACCTTACAATGAAAGGGCGATCAGTATGACTGATAAGAGTTTATCTACCTTTTGCAGACAGACAGCAATAAACAAAAGAGGAAACTCACTCCTCATTTTGAGCCAAGTCGTCGTACATCATCACTACAATCTGCTCATCTGGGATGCCATTTCTATGGACAATCTGATAGGCATGGCATGCATCGGCCTGTGAAAGGAGAAGAGCGATGGTCTATGAGATCATTAGGTAGTTGAAAATACAATAAAAAAGCATGCATTCTGAAAGGAAAGTAGTTTGAGGTTCGAATGCATGTTATCAGAAGCGGGTAGATTGTAAGGAAAATCCTCCTGCTTACACTCCTCTCACCTGATGCCTGTAGTTGTACCAGCCGTTGGAACCGGCCACTATTACCACCCAGTTTTTCCCACTTTTTTCGTTTTCCCCCGTTGGAAATCCAACAACGAGCCCAACGCTCAGGCCGAGCAGGGCGAAGAGGACGGTCTGACGCATTTCCTCGCCTTCTGTGGGAATGATAAACAAGATGAGAAGAGAGGCGGTTATTCTTCAAATTCACTCTCACAATCAAAAGACAGTCCACCGCCTGGTCCTTAAGGCGACGCATAGACCGACAAGTCAAAGATAAGATAGGGAAAAACATGCCACTTGATGCCTGCGAGTCACATGACAACCATATCCAGTCCGGGAAGCAGGCAACGCCATGGTAGCACAACAAGCTAACTAAATAGCCGGTGTTCCGAAAGGCTAAAGGGTTTTAGGGAGAACGCAAAAAAACCCCGCCGAGCGTATCCCAACCACCTTTACAGAGATACCGAACGTGTTTTATTACCTTTTGTTAGTTGTATGGCTCGGTTGAAGGGCAGTGAAGCGGCAGCCTGTAAATTCCTGGCGACTGTCAATGGCAAGTTTATATGTGAGGTCGGGAAAAACGCTTGGCAGGGATTCTTCCACGGCAGCCAATCAGAGCGTCCGGGGGCGTGGCTTGACTGTAAACAGTCATGTGCTTTTTGAACTGGGAAAAACATGCGTGAACTTGTGTGTTTCCCAGTGAAATGGTTCGAGTAAGCGCTTTGTAATCACGAGATCACGTTCTGTGTCATAATTCAAAGTAAAATAAAGTACGGCAAATGGCTATAGATGGGGATTTTTCATGTGGGTACAAACCTCTTCTTTTGAACAATGGATTTTTTAAAAATATGTGCAGATTTACGTATTCGTAAATGTGTTCATAAGGTATTTTTGTGTTCATTTTTCATCTTTTAAGACAACGTTGCTGTCTTTGATTGACTTGCTCTTTTTGGTTGGGTAGTACGAAAAGCAGAGCTGTCCTCATGTTAGATAATGATTATAAATTGACGTTTTATGTTCAGATGCTCCCAAGAGTTGAGGACAAAACGCTTGGAAAACATTATATGGGAGATATTGCCGAGTTTTAAATGTTCTTTTGATAAGAGTCCTTGCAGTAAAAGAGTTCGACCACGTCCAACTCACAAACACAAGTACATACAGCTGGAAATCTTCATTCGTTGAAGATAATTGATTTGCACTATTTTTTCTTTCTAAAGTGCAGTCTCTCTGCAAATGTGCATTTGTTTGTACGCGCTTGCCCCTAAAACACAGATAAAATGACTATTTATATTTCAACTGACAAGTTCACAGCGAAAAAAAAACACCCTGTTAACAGTGCATTTCAAGTTTTATATTGTTGTTATTCTCGCAATCTCAGTAAAGTGTTCTCGCCATTATAGCTGATGTGGTATAATTTATCCAAAGGACATTGTTCTGGAGGTGTTTTAGATGCAGTTTTGCCAACCGAAGCTACATTGATCAGTTCTTCCTTTTTCAGAGAAAATATTTTTTTCCGGTAACATATATTTCGAAGAAATTCCAAATAGTTTCCTAATTAATTTTAACTATACAATAATCTTCTCCAGAAAATGGCCAGTGACGGTTGTTTGCAAATGTTTTTTCTCCTTGACATTGTGCTAAAACAGTTATATACTTTAGAGCAGAAAATCAAAATATAAATCTTTATAGAAGAGTTCATACATACTTGTTAGTGATCAATTGCTTAAAAAATATATTTGCATTACTTACTCCTCTTAATGTTTGATTTTTTAAACAAAACTTCCACATTCTCATTAATTCTACAATATATATAAATAACTACGTGAAGTTAACCTCAGGCTGTATTTATCGTTTTTAGACCTTAGGACTTCATGATTTCTAATTTCCTGACACTTGACAAATCAAGTGGTTGTACTTTCCTTTTCACAGAATTGTCTGGTTTTGAATGCAGCTGCTAACAGGTGTACCTATGCAGAGAAAGAAAAACTTATGTTTGAAGCGGTGGCTTTGTTGCACAGAGATGAAAAAGCCATCCACACTTGAAAGTATATTAGTGAGAGTCTATTACATTTACAAGATAAGACCACAAATTGGTGGTAAAAGATTCTTAGTCCTGATTTCAAGCCCGTTATGCTGAATCCATGGAGAAAGACTGAGAGGAGGCATATTAAAGACGGCAATAAATCAAACTTTTATTCTTCATATAGAAAAAAAGTTAAATAGTGAAACAGTCCATCAAAATTGCGGCATCTTGTTTTCAACCAATGGTCCTCAGTACATTAACCTTTGTCCCAAAATAAGAAAAAAAAAAAAATAAAAAAAAGTAAAAAAAATATTTACAGTAAAAAAAAAATTATAGTGCAAGTTCTTATTTCTTTGCGCAAATGCATCTTGCAACATTTGAAATTAATGAAACAGGAATGACAACAATGAAACAGAGTTTGTGGAGGACAGCGCCGGCGAGTCTGACTTCTGTCTGCTCTGTGCCACAACTTTCTCTGCCGTCTTGGCAGCCAAACGTAGAGAAAAATAAGGTTTCACAAGGCAGATATTCAATAAACTTATTTGGCAAAATATTAAAGGATTTACAAAAAACACAAACAATCTCCAGACGCTTTTTACACTCAGCTCTGTCAGTATTTCGGAGGAAAAACTGCTGATGAAATGCATAGAAATGAATTACCAGTAGCAAGAACTAACTTAAGGTTTTTTCTTTTCTTTTTCTTTCTTTTTGTTTTTGTTTTTTTTTACTGTCATGCAGCATTTCTGAGACAACGCAAGGCAGATACTGTGGATGTGTGCTGCTGCATTAAAGCATGTTGGATAAGTGTATACTCTGCCTGTGGTTGCACTTTTCCCTGGCTTCCTTACCCACAAAGCGATTGAGGAACGTGGGGAGGTGAAAGCTCCTCTTCCCTGTTTGCTGCAGGCTGCGGCGTCCTGCTGAAAGCCGGGGAGGGTCTGGGAGGCCTGGCAAGCATGCGTTTCCGTGCGATGCGTGCGCCCGTTTGTCTCAAACCTCTGCGCCCAACTCAATGACCCCAGTCTCAATAATGGGCACTAGCTTATCTTCCACCTGTACCAGCAGGATGGTCTTGTCGATATGGGAACGATTGGCTGGGTCTCGACTACAAGGCACCCACCGGTGAATCACCTGCAGGGGGGGCAACACAAGGAGGCGGTTTAGGAGAAAGGACGCATCTCATAACATTTTTGAGGATTTTTATTTTCTTTAAATGAGCAGGTAAGAAAGGGTGTTAGCAGCCAAAACAAAAAATAAAAAAAGTGGAGACACACAAACTAGACAGTAATAGTAAATCTAAAACAGGGAGCATCCAAATTGATCATTTTTTACTCTCAGAAATTCTAAATTTAACTATTAATAATAATAATAAACATATTCCATGATGTAAGGCCGGTGATGCTGACATGTTCCCCGCTGTTAGACGAGACTTACATGCCCTTCCATGCCCTCGACGGGGCTCCAGTCTCTCCAGCAAGTCCGTCCTGCCCTTAGTCTCACGGTCTCGTCGGGCCACTGCAGCTCCTTCCGCTTCGATAGGTTGATGTTCTCCAGCACCTGACTCAAGTCCACAATCTGACAGACATCACAGAACCTCAACAGTCGGAAGGAAGCCCGCCAGAGTTGGCTTTCCACGGTAACGGAGAAAAACGAGCTACAGAATATTTCCCAAACCTGCACTCTGTAGGAGATGTCGTCTCTCCGCGCGGTGGAGAAGCAGGGGTTGTGATGGTGGTGGTGGTGATGCTGGCTGAGGGGGTCCGTCACGGCGTTGCACAGGCCGTCGTTGCCCAGGAGCCCCACCAGCGTGTGGCGCTTGCAGGGCGGGATGCTGTGGCTGGAGAGCGAGGACGAGGGGCCGGCGGGGTCGGAGGTGGAGCCCAGGCGCAGCTGCAGGGAGGTGGGGAGCGTGCGCAGGGACAGCTGGCTGGTGGAGGAGCGGCGGCAGGGCTCCAGGCCCGTGGTGGAGGTGCGGAGGGAGGAGTGGCGGCTGCTGCTGTAGCGGTACGACGACGACTGGCTGGCCATCGAGGCTCGGGCGGGGGAGTGGCGCACCAGGCCGGACTGAACAGACTGAGAACTCTGACTGGTGCCTGGAATACCAGGAGGCGAGGACAGGTGTCAAATCAGAGGAGAATTGCACGATGCATAGGGGATCTATGCACGACGTATTTTGGTCAAATTCTGGCCGAAAATACACTTTTGTTCAGCTTTTTTTTTAATTTTTTTTTTTTACCTCTAACTGTCACCTCTTAATAGATCAATACAACCCCAAAATAATTACTCATAAGCTTCTGAGAAGAGATTCAGGTTCAGAGGTTCCCACCCAGAGAATGTGGCTGGTATGAATGAGGGGGAGCAGGTCCAGAGTTACCACCCTGCGACATGGAGCTTTGCTGAGAGTCGCCGCCGGTCGCATTTCCGCTGCCGCTCGACAGCCCCCCGGCGTCCGAGTCCTCGATATTCCCTCCGCTGTTACAGCCGGCACCACAGCCCTTCCGTAACCTGTGAGAAAAGCAAAAGTACTTCAATGTTACGTCACTTTATCTCCGTAAAAAAATTTTTTTTTAAAAACTAAACGGAATGGCAAACCTGTGCCAGGTGCTGACGACAAAGTTGCGGATGTTGGCGATGCTGATGGGGCCTCCCAAGATGTGTCCGAGCTGTGGGTGCGAGTTGCAGTAGGAGGTGGTCAGCGGAGACACGTAGATTGGATATCCGATCGGCTGGTCACATGACGAGTTGATCATGTTACGCAGGGCCTGTTTGGCGTTCTGGATGCTCCCACGCTCTGGGTTCCTGTTTCTCAGGAACACCAGCTCCTGCTGCTGTCCCGCCCAGAGGCCTCGGACACATTCTTTATTCACCTGCAGTGCGAGTGACGATAATGCACCTTAAACATGTCGCCTCGGATCTAAAGACCAGCGCTGCTTCAAATTAGACTGTTTTCACCTTGATGACGCGGAAACTGAGGTATCGTCGATTGAGCATTATGATCTTGTACTCGTTGGTGCCTTCGTCAAGGACATGGCGCAGGGCGAGGAGGGAGGGGGCGTTGGACAGCACGGCGCTCCTCCAGGCGGGGTCGCCTTCGTGAGCGATGACCAGGTTCTGCTGGTGGGCGGAGATGGCCTCGAAAAGAACAGCTGGCTCGTCGTACTCGTCCGGGGAGGTGAAGTGGTCCTGGCAAACAAACGGCCCTGTTTCACCCTGCTTTGTGAGGGTAAGGAATGGGCTTTCCTTAATAACCTCGATGGGGCCTCACCTGGTGCAACTTGAGAGACATTCGGATTCCAGGTACCACGACTTTCCTGAGCAGCTCCATGTCGGCGAAGATCCACTCGTCCCGCACCGACGAGATTCGGAAATCCCCCTTAAACAGTGCGTGGAGTCCAAAGAGGAAAGACTCCAGATTGCTGAGATGGAGAGAACAAATGGGACATGCGTCACCTCTCTTTTCTGATTGCCGATTACTAAACACGAGGGGTGTGATTGTATAAGCAAGTCCAACTTGTCCCTCTCTTTGACCTACATAAAAGAGCACACCCTGATGCATTATAAACCATTGACCTGTAATGAGAAAGATTACTAGATAACCTGGACATGTGATGGGCTGCAGTGCCCAGAGCTCTCCTTCCCAGCACGCACAGGCCGAAGCAGAGCAGCACCAGGTTAGAGTCTTTCTCGCTGTCAAGCGGCTGCAACACAAAGCAGAAACTCAGATCTCACATGGCGCCGTTTTTTTCTTTTACCCAGAACTGGGTAGGCGTGAGGAGACAAACCCGTTGCCTTTACCTTGGCCCTTCTAGAGTTGCAGTACTGGATCCAACCCAAGTAGACCCCGCAAAAACTGTCCCTGGAGATGCCTGCGAGCCGGTGGTCGTAGTCCTCGTCGATGTTGGGGTTGAAGGTGGGGTCCAGGTCGACGTAGTTCCTCTCGCCGCAGCCCCGCAGCCCGTCTTTCATGGTCTCATTGCCCAGCCACTCCTCCAGTTTGGGGGAAGCGACGACGTAGTAAATAATACCCTGAATTCGGAGAGAGTCGACACATTTTCTCCCACATACGAGTCATATGCTGTCATAAAGAGGTACGCCCCGCCTTAAACGGCCACGTGTGGGCCCTTTCCGACCTTAACGTAGTAGGTGGTGAGGATGCGGCGCAGGTCGAACACCTGCAGCATGGAGGCGGCGCTGTTATCGGTGATGCTGTAGCCCTCCAGAACGTATTTGGTGACCAGCACCTCCCAGGCCAGCCAGCGCTGGCCGAAAGCGGCGTTAAAGGACAGGACGTGAGGCAGGTGGCCCGGCTCGCAGCAGCAGCATCCCTCGTCCTCCTCAACGCCCTCGGTGATGGCCTCGACTTCCCTCTGCTGGCAGTAGGTTCCTGTGGAGGAGCCGTTCCGCACATCTGTTCAATTACTCCCAAAAAAGCTTCTCCATTATCAAAGCAACTTATTCAAAGGGTCGGCCTGCGGTGGAGGTTTAGAAGCTGCAACACTGGCTAAAGGGGGAAAACATAACGAGGTAAATCAGTAACAAAACCTTTTCGCGTGTGCACATAAAGTTGCTGACAGACTGGCGATGCAGGTCAGCTTTAGAAGGAGAGGCTCAAGGTTCTGTAAAAAAAAAAAGTTCCCTCCATCACATGCTCTCAGAGGAGCTCCTGTTCAGCAGGTTTGATGAGGAGCAGATGGCCTAAATTACCCAAAGTCACGGTGATGAAGCACAGCCAGCTGTGCTTCCCATGAAAACAAAGGCACAAAGTAACAAGCAGAGCAGAATGCTCTCATTTTTTAACTATTCAAGCGTCGTGTTTGTGTGTTTAAATCTTTTTTTTTTTTTTAAATAAATCACACACAAATATAGCTTAGTTCATTTCAACTCAACAAATGGATTCCTATCAATAATTTTCTATTGTGTCCCCATAAGAAGGGGTTGTATCATCAAAGCAGTGAATTAGAGAAGTAATAGGCCTGCCTCTGCTTTCTCACACACACACTTTTGCTCAAATAATCCCCACCTACAAACCCACATGCAGTGTTTCTAGAGTAATCTATATGAGGAAAAATAGACAGAAACCTTTACCGCTGTTTATAGAAAACCAAACTGATACCCTGTCTGGTTGTACTTGTCTTTTTGTGTGCATTTTCAACCGAAGAAACCGCCTGGAAAATACAGAATGAACGGTAAAACACGAGGTGCTGTTCTGGCAGCTGTTTTTCTGCCACAGGAGAGTTTAAATAATGTGCGATGCCTTCTATTTTTGCTGATCAGTGTTACACCTGCGCCTGGTTGTGTCTGCGCCTCTGACTGTCCCTGTGGCTCTGTCATCTGCCACACAGACAGCTTTCACAAGCTGCCATTGGGAAGTTTGTTTGTTGTTGTTTCTTTTTCCACTCAATTAGACAAGCCAGTCATTGCTGAGTGGCCGACTTTCCTAAATGCGTCCTGGGCACCTTAGCCATGGCTGAATAAACCTTAGATGCCATATGGCCACGTATCCGGATGGAGAGCATGTCTGTTACCAGTATGGCAGAATATAGGAAGTCAGTAAAAGGTGCGACTAAATAGATTTTTCTCTCAAACACATTATCGTCCCTGAAATTAGTAACTTGTTAAAGCCCCAGTCCGAGTAGACATAGAAAACGTTGCGACAAGTGCTGGCGGGAAATTCAAATGTCATCTGGAGTCCAAATATTTTAATATTTCCAAGATGCCACTTCTAACGCAACCGGTCTCAGGTCACTGACTGAATTAGAAAACTCTCTTTTAGCTTTGCCTGTTCGAAAAAGGCAAAAAACATAGCAGCTGCTCTCTTTACATAAATGTCTACAAATATTCTGAATCCTTCTCACCTCTGAACTCCAGCCCGCGGAGCTGAAAGGTGACCAGACCATTGCCGATCTCGATGAGATGCACCAGAGCGTTCAAGTAGTCGGAGGCCAGGATGAAGCAGTCCCCGGTGCTGAAGTTCCCCCAGCGGCCCAGGAGGAGGTCTCCACAAAGGCTGTGCTGCAGGGAGCGGGTCAGGTGCTCGTAGAAGATGGAGTTCAGATTGTTGTCGTCTGAGCCTGAGCAGGAGGAGGGAGGATTACAGAACAGAGGAGAGCCGATCAGACATAAGAAAAACGCTCTCGAAGGGAGAGAAAAACAAATGCACGCACTCATACTCAGTAACAAAACGGACAAAATGTCGAACAATTATAAACATCTTCTGCTAAACAACAGGTGAGGGCTTAACTCACCTGGATTTCTGTCCAGCTGAGAGGCCAGTCGAGTGTTTGAGTGATCAACTCTTTTGGTGCTGTGTGAGGAAATAGAAAAACAAAACAAAACAAAACATAAAAAAGTAGAAGAAATCTTAATTATGAGCAGTAAATTGACAGTTGAGGTCCTTTTAATATTTAAAATGAATACCACCCCTTCCCCCTTCTTTCAAATACATAAATGTATCGCACTTATAGTCTCGCTCCCAAAACTTGACAGGGCGGACGTAAGAGGTGATGAAGATGGCGCTGCCGAGGAAGGGGTTGAGGGGTGTGGAGAAGACCGCCGACACTACGGCCTGGACGAACAGCATGGCCGAGTCTGAGGGAGCTCTGGTCAAGGCTATTCCGCCTGTTTTTGCCTCCCGCTCCCAAAAAAAAATGCTAGAAGCTGCTCCGCAGTAAGGTGCGACTCTGCCAAAGGATACGAGGCACAGCGAACGGCTGAGCAAAGGCGTGGAAGGCCGAGCCCCATGTGATCTGCCACGGAGCAATGTAGGTGTAGACAAAATGCAGCTTGTAAAACAGCTCCCACAACTGTAAAAAATAAAAAAAAGAGAGAAAAGAAGAGAGAAAAAGTGATTTACTGATAAAAGCAGTTCAAAGCCACCAGTCGAAAAAAAAACAACTTCCAAATGTTGGATCCACAAATGGTTATTAACTAAAAGCAACGTCCTGTTAAGAATCAGAGCGGAAGGAGGTGGACACTTGGGGGTGCTGTTTTCTGACCTTGGTGAAAACGATGGACATGAGGAAGAGGTCGAGCAGCAGCGTCTCGGACAGGTGACGGTAGTCGAAGGTGAAGAAGAGGACGGTGAAGAGGATGGTGATGTACTGGTAGGTCGGGCTGCTGTAGGAGGAGCGGAGCAGCTTCAGGCCCGCAATCGTGATCATCAAAGCACCGACCCTGGGAATATATATTGAACAATTTTTTAAAAACATCCAGAAAATGAAAACTAATAAATAAACTCTTAATTAACTGTCAAAATATTAAATTGTAAGTATATATATCTATCCATCTATTGAAAAAATCCACTATATTTACCCCAACTCTTAAAAAAAATAAACAAAAAACAAAACATTCAGAACGCTCACTCGGTATCGAGCCTCTTTGGGCTGGCCAGTTCTCGGGCGCTGCCGCTCAGCTCGTTCAGGATGACCAGGGGATAGAGAATGTTCTTTTCCACGAACAGCAGCCACACGTGGAGCTTTTCAAACCACATAACGTGGGCCGCGTCTGAAAAGAGAGAGAGAGAGAGAGATGGGGGGGTTGGAAAGTAGAACATTAATAACGAAAGCTTCTTTCAAACGTTACAGGTAGCTCTATCTGCCAACAGCTCTTTGTTTGATCAAAGAGAGCAAACATTTAAGGAAGGAGCTTTTTTTTTTAATCATTCATTTCTCTCCTAGATGCAGCAGCAACACACTTTCTCTCTTAGTTTCTTTTCTTGTTGTTGCGACTAAGAGGAAGTGATACTTGTAATCCAGATGTCCTCACCTCTGACTTCAAACTGATAGTACTCCTTGGTCTTGAGCAGAGGGTGGGAGAAGCAGTACCAGGGCAGCTGCTTTCGGACTTGAGGCAGAAGGTAGTGTGTGAGCAGGCCCACCGTCCCCAACAGGGCGTACAGGACATAACTGAGGAAAGGCTGGGGAAACACGGGAGGGCTCAGATCAGTTGCCGTTGTCACCTAAGAAATCTTTTTCAGCGTTCTACTTCGCATTCGCTGTACCTGCAAGGCTATGAATACTGTGCTGACGTGGATGGCGAAGTAAAGGACTGCAATCACCACACAGACGATCAGGTCTGACTGCAGGCGCTCATTCTGAAACGAGTGTGTGAAGGGGGAAAAAAGACGGAAACATAAACTTAAAAACATTTTCGGTGCTTTAAGTTTTAGTGTTAGATGTCCTTCCTTCTCCAGTCAGAAGACACAGAAAAATAAGCTCACCACTGAGGCCCTCAGCTTCTCTGGCAGAGGGTCCTGCACCTCTGACAGGGGGTCCTCTGGGTTCTTGTCTCTTAAATTGGGTAAAATCTTGGACTGTATCAGTGAGCTGTGAATCAATAAGCAAAAATATTAGTTTAGTAAATCGCAGAACGCATTAAAGATCTTATTGAAACTTGCAGATCCGAACTTACATGAGGACAGAGGGGTCGCTGCTCTGCCTGCTCAGATGGTACGACACTGCCACCAAAAGGCCGCAGAACACAGAGAATAAGACGGGGATGTGCTGAGGCTCCCAGGTCTCCTGAGGCACAACAAGATTTTGGGACGCTCGTCAGTTTGTTTCACACAGCAACAAAAGCTTCCGTACAGCAGATGCGTCACATACAGTAGGTCTAATAGAATAGCACGAGTTTGCACATATTTGAAGCCAAAAATGTGTAACTCAGAAGGTATGAGTGATGCCTAGAAAGCATTTTACCTCCAACAGGAATCGGCAACTTCTAAGTATTAACGCTTACGAGATATGTACATCTAAGATGTTCATGGCATCAGTTTTGATGAGTACAAATGTTATAAATTGTATTAGTGTGTGTGTATGTATGTACACACATACATACAATACAAACATTTTTTTTTACTTTTGTTGCAATATGTTGTGGGAATAAACTCATGTTCAGTTGAACTCAACTATTAGCTGTGGCCTTTTTGTTGTGGTGATGAGAGAAAAAATTCAAGTAGAATTAGGAATTGTTTTTTTCATTTAAATGAGATCAACATAAGAAATTAGATGACCTTGGATCAATTGACAAGAAATATTTTAACAATTTATTAACTCAATGCTGGAATGGGGGAAAAATGGGGAATTTATTGATTTAATTGCAATACAAGCACCTCAAGTGAAAAAATTCATCTTGACCCCAAAACCTTTGCTATCCAAGACAAGAAAAAAAAGAAAAAAAAAGACAGAATTTTATGTGGGCTGGGAGGAAAATATCAACATACTCTCTGATGATGATTATATAAGAGGATAAGCACACCAAAGCAATAGTGGGTACCAAACAGGTTGGCAGAGCTTTTTTTTTTCTTTTCTTTTTTTACCTTAAGGGCTCCGTAACAGAAGCCGTAGAGCAGAGCAACGGTGACGACGCTGCGCAGCACGCTGTACAGCGCCGACAGAAGGCTTGTGGAGGCTGCGGAGAGCACAGAGAGGGTGACAGCAGTCAGAACACTCGAGCTGACAGCAGCCGGGCCAGCAGAATGCTGTTCGGCACTCTGCTGAAGCCTTTGGGACAGTGTAGCAGCGTCTGCCGCCTCGGTCCACAGACGTCGAGGTGACCTCTGCACGTCACTCACCATTGCCCCCGAACACGTGGATGTCTAGCTGCTCGAAGAGGTACATGACGAACGTGTTGACCTGTGGCAGCAGCCCCACGAAGAAGATGATGGGAAAACACAGAGTGAAGACTGCAGAGAGACACACGGAAGGTGACACTGACGTCCTGTCCGCTTCTCATCAACAACTAATGGCGCCTCTCAAAGCAACGGCTACTGCTGACCTATGTTTATTTAACATGGGCTTTAATGTCTCGCAAACAAAATCCGCCCCCCAGACCGAAGGTTTAATCTGACACACGCGCTGGATGAGCGAGTGCACTTTGCTTTGTGCGTCCCGTTTTGGTGCTCGTCGCGATCGCTGTCGCGAGAGGACGAGAGGTGGCGTTTTGGTTACCTATGACGAGGTCTCTGGCGGAGGTGAGCACCAGGGAGCTGGTGAGCGCCACTCCGTAAAGGGTGATGCGCGACGAAGTGATCTTCAGGCTGCCGTAGTGCAGCAGCCAAATGAGGCCGCAGCACAGGCAGAAGTACACAGGCCGGCTGTACGCTATGATGCGATTATGGCCCTGCAGGACAGAAATGGAGCGTTTTAGAAGCTGGACTTTCTAAATGGCGTTCCAATGCTGCTCAGTACTTAGATGATAGATCCCTGTGTGTGTCAAAACAGGTCAAAAGGACACTGAAGAACATATGCTTAAGCACTAGTATGGCATCCTTAAATTGCCTGGACCAAAAAAATGGCCGAAGAACTCTTTATTGCACTGTATATACAATGCTATACAACAATCAGCTGAGCAATTATCTCCTACAAAAACAGGAATATAGAGGTATTCGTGTCCTATGGATCCAGGAAACGAGGCTCATATAACACCAGTGACAAAAGGTATAAAAAGAAACGGCATGGAGTATCAGGTTTCACAGCAGAGGGAGGATGCATTTCTGAAGTGTGGGGGTAGGCTACGAGTTCCACAGCTTTATCATGGGGGGGGGGGAGCGCTGACAGTTGGATTAAATTGACTGGACTAGCACAAAATGTTGCGAAAAAGGGAAGGAGGGAAGTCTTTAATGGGAGCTGAGGGGGGGACAGAAAAGGGGACGACACGAGTGGGGTGGGGTGGTGGTAGAGTGGGGACACAAAGAGTAAGAGAGCCAGCGTTGTCTAAACTCTGACCAGCTATTTAAAGCCGTGCCTGCAGCCGAGTTGCATTAATAAAAGACGGCGCTTCAGAGCAGCCGGCTGACACAGATTCACCAGAGAGAAGCGGAATCGCTTCCCAAAAGCAAGAGGGACAAACAGTTTTTTTTAAATACAAGTTTTACTCCATGCCTACTCCTAATTCAACACAGCTGCCACATCTTTGCCACTTGTGTAAAAGTTTATTTTTAGAAAACTATCGCTGTAAAACGGTTACAAATTACCGCTACTTACATGTCGGGGTGATGAGGAGTCTGGTTGAACACTCTGCCAGTGGAGATAAGGACAAAATAATAGCATCAATGATTCCATTTGAGGGGCATCTCACTTTAATAGTTCAGTTGGGGCGATGCAGCGCGTGCGAGCTGCACCTGTGTCTTTACAACAGCTGCTCTCCTTCGCACTTTTTAAGTCGGAGTCTAAGGGCGTACGGATGGGAAAAAAGTCCAGCGCTCACCTTTAACAGGGAATACTGGCAACTTGCAATGACGAGGCAGAACTGAAAGACCCAGATGTCCGTGAAGAAGTCGTGGACGAGCAGCACCGAACCAAGAAAGGCCACCAGGACGGCGAGCACCACTGCCAGCACGTTCTCCAAAACCTCACGGTTCCTGTGGCCGGAACAAAAACAAAAACAAAGTTAAAAAGGTTTAAATTCCCTTCATGAACCCAAAAACATTTCCGAAGATTAAAAAAAAATTCCAAACTGGGTCAGGTATCAATAAAAAGGGAGAGATAAATAGTTAATCACAAACAGACAAGTGTGTGAAGATGAAAACAAAGTTAAATGGAAGCGAATGTTGGACTTGAACTGAAAAAAGGAGGAATTGATCCAGATTCCTGCTGGCTGCTAAATCGGAAATACAAAGAGCAGATAAGAGATGACCAGAAAAGGAGAGCACATGTTGACCTAAGAAGTCGAGCATTTACAAAAGGCAACGGCACACGATAAAAGATGCAATTTGTACAACCAAAAAGGCCCGTGACCTAATAGACATATCGTAGAAAGAAATTGGAGCAGAACTTTCAAATAGTAGAACTATTCAAATGAAAGAATTCAAAGGTTTTTTAATTGCCAATGATAGCTCCCATAATGGATGTAGAAGAAGACAACTGTGCTTCAAAGTGTTTAAACACATTTATATAAAAAAAAGTCTTCCACACTGACTGAGCCAACAGAAGTTTCTGAAACGGCATTGGAGGGCTTTTAACTCTGGGTGGTTAATCTGTAAGGCCACAATGGCTACAGCTCTGTGCTTATACTGCCGTTACTCAGAGTTAAACTGTGCAAGTTTCGAGACAGCTGAACACATGCGTTGTTTCCTTAAAATTCTTTAGATATTTTCTGAAAGGACTCCATGTGAGAATGCAAAAAAAAAAAAATCTCCACCGGACAAACATGACTCTGAATAATGCCTGAAAATAAATAAATAAACAAAATAAGAGCCCCATATGACTCTGTATTTGAAGTCATTGTAGAATTGTTTATATGCCACATAAAACATGACATACATATATGTTCAATTATTTAATTGGGACACCAAAGTTGAAAGGTAATAAACCGCTCTCACCTGTCAAACAGTGCCAGCAGGGTAAGCCGGTCAAAGTGCAGGCCTACCCACAGGTAGGGGAGAAGCCACAGGCGGTAATACTGCTTGGCTTTGCCAGCAGCAGCAGAGGCTGTAGTGTCCTCTGGTCCCAGTGGTGTGTCCTGGAGCTCCGGGCTGAGATCGCCGTCCTGCTGCTCTAGCAGCTCTGGGTCCATTGTCAGCAGGCGATTTAGACGGATCTGAGGGAGGGAGATCTGCCCCACAATCAGTCAAACTCACTTACACAAGCCAACATAAACATAAACTGAAAAAAAGAGAGGCACGGCAGATGTTACTGATAAAAGTTCAATTTTGGCATGATTTGTTTTAAATGTTGCTGTTATTTGATTTTGGTTCCAACACAACCAGAACTCAACTTAAAGGTAATGATATATTTTTGATATACAGAAGGATTCATAACTTGGTCCAGTGGTCCATTACTGTTCTTTTATGCGCACAAAGGATTGGACTTGTCAGGAACTCACCAGGTCGTGAGGGTAGAAGCGAACTGAGGTAGAACTGGAGAGGTGGGAGTCAGTATCCCTGCAGAGCATGACAAAGAAATAGTACAAGATCAGCGAGAGAAAAAGCACGACCCACCTTTTATATCATTAAAAAGTGATTCACTTCCAAGTAAACCTGTAAATACACAGCCAGTAGACCTACTTTTGGTAAAACTGTCAAAAAACCTGAACAAGCCTTTGTTTATCACATGGCTGTCTCTGGGCAACAGGCTTATGTTTAGCCGAGCGTGCCTACATCAGGTATTCCAATCATGTAGAATATTAAGGGGAAATATAAAATGACGGTAACATAACGACACTTAAAAGAGGCTCAAAGAAACCACCAGAGGGTTTGGCTACGCTCTAAGACATTGCTCGACAGTTGGACACAAACCATAGATTATTGGAGGCTCGTCTGGTTGCGGGTTCAAAATTGACCAGAGACATGTCGCATCCACCGGCCTCGTATAAGGAGGGGGTCAGTTTTCCTGGAGAGACAGATGAAAGGACGAGAAAGCACTGTCAGTCCACGGAAGGGGCGCCTGTGGGAGAGATTCGATTAGACCCCATGACCAACCAGCAGAGATTGTGATGGCTCTGCTAATTTCGTGCCGTGACCTCGTCCGGGCTAATGAGATCATTGTGTGAATCATCGTCGGCTCCTCCCAAAAAGGCTGTAAACCAGGATATCATTTCCTGCATGACGGGCAGTCAGCCGCGACTCGCTGCCCGTCTGCTCTTATTTTCATCCGGTAATGAGGTCACAACAGCAAAAGATGCTGAACAGATGAAGAAACAAAAGGCAACTCAGTATCTCTTAAATCAACTTAATTGCCACAAAGCTGGGGAGCTGTGTAGAATATCAATGAGAGAAAACTTCAGAGACAAATATTTCCCTCCAACCAGGACTTAGAAAGCTAATACAGCACAGACAAATATTAGACTTTTTGGCTTTGATGGTAGCAAAACGTCTCAAAAAATTTAAGAAAAAATAATAAAGAAATTGAGGCTGGGAAAATGTGAAAGAACTTAATTAGAGAAGAAAGTAACTGGCTGGCCAGTGACAACTGGGAACGAAAAGAGCACTTAAAAGAGGAGGAGTCTCTTAGAAAAAAATAGATGTGACAATTTTAGGAGCAGTGAAAACTGTCCATCCATCCTTTACTGATACCGCTTATAGTAGGGTCACAGGGGGGCTGGAGACTATCCCAGCTGGGGGTTTTAATTTACAGATTATGAGAAGTGGGACGGCGTGATGTAATGGGCTGAGCCGGAAACCAAAATCCCATTTGAACTACTAACACATATTTAGGTGAAATACATAACACTGCGGACATCTTTCCAATTAATTTAGAACCAAATTAAAAGTATTCCAACAAATAGATAAACAACTGACGGCAACTGAAAAGCTATAGAGAGATGAGATATTTCCATTGTATTGCCTTCAAAACATCAAGGTAAAGACGGAACAGGCTCGCCAGCTACGCTTAATAAATAATCCTCCAGTCGGTCAATGACCATAAATGGAAAAACATAAGCACCTCACATTTTGACTATGGTGTCTGGGGATATTGGAAAGGAAAATGACCCATTGAGCGATTGCCTTTTCCTGTGGCACAAAAACTATGAAGGGAAAATATTTCCAATCCACGTCATGCAGCTGGGAACGCATTTGCAGGGGAGGCGGTGATTGGGCTGAGGTTTTTCTCCCAACCCACCGGTTCAGTAAAATCCTACATGAACACTCGGGCATTGGCAGCTGCGAGAAAAGTGAACACTGAGATTACGCCTGCAAAACACACAAAAACAGCATCTAGTGTCGCCAGAATGAATCTGCATCTGGTCGAAACACGAACATAAGCAGTAAAGCGTTCAGAAGGGGCTGATTGGGGGGAGCTATTTGGCTCTTACGCAACCTCTTTAGACTCTTTAGTCGTGTTCCTTGATAACTTGAGATACCTGTGAAACATGCTTTGGCGCCGTCAATAATGACAAGCCACCGACACAGTGATGTCAGCACTGGAGATAGGAGTGAGTTATGCCGTGACCAGAGGGCAAAAATCACCATCCAAGTGATGTCAAGCGATATTGGCTCCAGATAAAATACCCAACAGCGATAAATGGAGCGTGGATAATGCCAGTGGGTTTTGACTGATTACAAAAGCTCGCCGACCGTGAGTAATAGCACTCCGCTATCATGGCTTTCGGGCGGCGGTCATATCTGCAACCAGCTCTCTCTTCCAGACCCAATTGGATTTTTTTTTCCCCCAGCTTTCTTTAGGAGCTCCCTACCAAAGTCGTCCTGCAAGCTGGTGGCGCCGACAGTTGAGGCCTTGTCCTGAGAGCCTTCCAGGTGCGCGCTTCCGTTCTTGGCCAGCAGGGAGGTGCTCGTGCTCAGCACGGTCACCTGGGACGGGGTTCTGGATGGCTGGCTTTTCACCTGGGAAGTAGAAGGCTGGGAGGCCTGGCTGAGGGCCTCCTGAAGACTGTTGGAGGAGAAGGGGAAAAGGGCAGGGAGTGAGAACCGGTGATTCCAGGGGATTCTTTCTGATTTACAACAGAGGAGAGGTCGATGAGCAGGGATGATTTAAAAAAGAAAACGTTTTTTAAAACATGATGTCGTGAAACTTCTCTGTGGGATCTTCTCTCTTTTTCCACAAGGACTTAGTTTTATTTCGGCCTCTTTTCAACTTGACTTGCGATATTGTCTGGATCGATTCTTTCGTGTTGGAGAACACATCTATGTGAAAAAATGTATCACCTCTGCTTTAACTTATTGGTGGCAAGCGCAACTGTGATACAGGAGTGTGAAAGTACATTTATGAGGATGCCTGATAAAGAAAACAGACCCATCCATCCTAACGAATAGAGGAGACCTGTCACAAGGGAGACTTTTATGTATTGGGGGCAATAAACTAAATAACCTGGCCCTTATCAAATACAGACACAGATAAACTACAGTCACATGTAGTTTACAAAAAATTTAAAAACAAAAAAGAAGTCCAAATGCAATAGCGAAAGTGATAAAAAGAAATGACAGTCCCATGACTCAATAGGTTGCGAAACCATCCTTGGCAGCAATGGTTTAAAGACAGACTGAGGTCTGGACTTTAAATGGGGCAATGCAGCACTTTTATTCTTTTCCTTACACAGCAGCGATGTTGCAGTGTTTCTGCCCCCCTGAACCTGCTGTCACGAGCCTGAACATTTTACATGCTAACTGAGGCCGTTGGAGTCTGAGATGCATCTGTTCTGCAGTGTCTCTCGGCATTGCACCGAATAATTTTGGGGTCAATTTGCCAAGTTGTTCCACCACTGGGAAGATTGGCAACCAACTTGAGTGTTTTCCCAATTCCAGTTGAAAGAGGGTGCACTCAGGTTTTCATACACTGCTTTTGCAATTTGGGCTTTGTCTTTGTTAAAAAAAAAAGAAAAAAGACGTAATGAATGCAAAATATGCCCTATGCCGCCCTGTATAAATAAATGATTTACAGAATTCTATAACCTGGTAAGGACTATTTTCCCTCTTATAATGTCATCATAAATAAAAGTTGACTGAAAGGAGAGGTTACTTTCTTTTTACACTTGTCTTTTATGTCCCTTTAATTTAGTTCCATGTAGTCAAAAGAGCACTTTAGCTTTCAGAGAACTAGGTGAAAATGCACCGCTCAACCTCTAGGAAAGTTTAGAGAGTGAAGGGACAGTGGAGGGATGGGGTGGGGGTTATTGACTCCTGGCAGGCAGCCCACTTAAAAAAAAAATGTGCTTAACAGTTTTCAAGGCACACCTTTTACAAGTGACCTTGTATAGAAGAAACATGATGAACTTGGCTAAAGATCAATGGCAAAACAGACTTCAGAAGCAGATTCACAGTGAGACCAGAGGAAATTCCTTTCTTTTGTGTCTTGAATATTCAAACATCTAAGAATAAAGTTGTTTTTTCAAAACTTTTATTTAAATTTGAGTTATTTCTTCTCTCTCCCTAAACTAACAGGGACATAAATGACCAGAAAACAAACAAACTGGGAAACACAAACTTAACAAGCCACAAACTAGATGTGACAGTAAAACTGAGATATTTTGCAGGAACATTATCGTTCACTCCAAGATGGCGTGAAATGCCCCCGTAAGGTAAAATAGGTCTTAAGTTAGAAAACGGAGCCAATAGAGAAACTGCAGACAAACATTATATCACCACAAAGAAGTGGTCTTTTGCTGCTAGATGTATCTCTAACAAATAACGAATGAGTATATTTATGACTTAAAAGTCAGAGCCTTATAAGTTAGTTTCCAAAAAAAACATACATGCAAAATAACTATATGCTAATTGATGTAAAACATAACTCATTTGTGCGTTTCTTTGTTAATTTTAGCTCTTAGAATGAAATAATATAATAAAAGAAGATCACAATAATCTGTTTTAAAGGGGGAAAAAAGAGACTAAATAATCTTATTTACAGAAAGGTCAGCAAATAGGTGACAAGATACAGCAGGATGTCTGTATCACTGAACTGATCACATGCTCAGCTGAGAGGAGACGGCTGGTTAGCCATGATGATTAGCGAGACCTTGTGGCCTTTGTGAGGAATTCGTAAGGAGGCCGTTCTTTCATCCGTGCTCAAAACCTGGGCTTTACGAGATTAGATGGTGAGATAGCAGGATGAAAAGAGCGAGACTTGGGGTAAAAGAGGATCAAAAACACCACATGCGGGGTGGAGACACCGGCCCAGAGACAGATGACGTCCCGTTAGGAAGGCATGCACAACGGGAGATGTAAATGCCGGTGTTGATGCGGGGAAGAAGGAAAGAGTGCCTCCTGGAGACATGCTCACACCAGGTGCCACGACAGAAAACGACTTCCAGCTCCATGCAGGCCGTACCTGAGAGGAGATCCAATGAGCGAGGTGGGAGGGGTGGGGTTACTCCCTGCATTGTGCCGCCGCCGCATGGCCTGCCGACGAAACGTGCTACGTTCACGACGGAATATGACCGTCTCTTCGCTTCCAGGTGCTGTCATGGTGAGAGACATCATTGGCCAGTTAGTGTGGTTTTCCTTCCTTTTTCCTGACAGCTTAGCGTGGACGTTAGAAAATGTATATTTCCGTGTGCTGTGGAGGGTTAACCAACATTTTTGCATCACAAGACCAGCTGACAAAATCAGATTCACGCACTTAAAGCTCTGCCTGAAGACTTTTGAGGCAAACTGAGTCATCGCTTTAACCCCCACAAACAACAAATGGCCAACACAGGGATACTGCAACACAGTGAACTGATGCCCTAGCCACTGACACAGGAGCCAAAACATCTGTACATTTTTATGGCCGTAACACTTGAATTACGGTTCATTGAGATAGATGAACAAGTTCCAAATATGGCCGCAGTTGGAACTTGAGCATATTTCTCAATGTGTTCCGAAAACATAATTCAACTCAAAGCAACAGAATATGTACAAAAGAAACAAGAAAAAAAGATTGATTTCCATTTACATCCCATTTCTACTTTTATGCGAAATGTCAAATGAAAGAAACAAGAACACAGCTTTGCTGTACTCTTACAAACTGTCTAATCATGGGTGCCCCCTGGCAGTTCATGTTACGCATTTTGTAATGTTTGCCTGTTATTTTATGTCTTAAATAAATTATTTTTGTAATCTCATGATTTGTTTAAAAGCCAAGTTAGAACAGGCAAAATTGAAGGCTGATACCAGCAGAATGATGATATGATTTGTCAGTTTCCATTTAAAGTTAGCCAACTCTTGCTAAATCTGTGTAGCATTAGCATGTCAAGACTACAGTCATAAATTCATGTGTTTAACAGATTTGATGAAATCCTTATAATTTTGCCAATTTGTAGGATAATGTCACTGGGCCGTATGTGCACACAGAATTAGCATGTAGCTAAAAGAGCAATCATAAATAACTATCAATGGCAGTTTGTGACCAAGAGCAGGCTTAGATTGTGCTGTTATTGGCCTGGCTGATTCGGGCTGATGTGTGTGAATAAAGTCAGGACAGCTTGAGGACAAACTCAGAGGTGAACTGAAATGCTTGTGGCCACACAGATGTCTTTCAGCGTTTGTGCTTCACATCTTTTTTCCCCACACTTAAATGATAGCGTATGCACAACAAATAACTTGGTAAAGGGAAACATTTCACTGAAACCTTAACCATCAGAAAAAGATTGAAGCAACACTTTGTTGATTTGACGCAGAAGTAACAAATCAATGCTGGCGTTTTCGAGAATGCATTAATTTGAGATCTGCAAAAAACAAAAAACAAAAGAAAACATACATCGATTGGACCACACCACAAAAGTCTGAATACTGACTTGGAAAAATGGCTAAACAACAGCTGGAATTGAAATCCAAGATGGCCAATGGCATACTAAGAGCTTCTAACCTGTGGTCAGATCACCCCAACCATATGCCAATTCCAGTTGAGAGAATTACTTTCACACACTGATGGAATCCATGCTACACATGACGACTCCAATTTTGTTTACTGTGACATCCAAACAGCAGGTCCCAAAATAAAAATACTAAATTTCCCGTATTTAAAACCAGCATCTGGTGTGTCCGGGCACACTCAAACTCAGAAAATTTAAAACAAGAAGTTCAGACACAAATTTTGCATCCCCAACAAATACAACATTCACAGAGACAAAGTAGACCTTAGAGAGAAATAAGATATTAGCCAGCAAGCTTAAAGACTGAGTGGGGAAGGGATGGTCTATTAGACTCAGAGTGTATGACACCAATAAGAGAGCATCTGTTTATCCAACCACAGCACAAAGCACACACTGTGCCGTCATACTTACTGCGATCTGTAGAGGGAACACCATGCCTGGGTCAAAATTGTAACTCCATGGAAAATCACCGTGGTTACAATGAATTTGCAAGACAGAGCGTTTTGTATGTGTTCACACAAAAAGAGGCAACTTTAAGGTATGCCTAAAATCTGTCTGGCCACATTATGCAAGTGTTAACAGACCTATAAGCACTGACAATGACACTTGTTTTTTTTTCTTTGTCAAAGTAAGCTCAACACCAAAATCTGAAAACAATCAAATAAACGGGAGCCCGTTTCGCAGCTGGTCTAACTCTGTGTGTGTGTGTGTGTGGTACCCACCCCGCAGTGAAGCAGCGGTGGCGTCCTGAGGCTCAGTGAAAGCTGTCTGGTTTGGCAGACTGTTTCTGGAGCGGGTCACTGACTCCAGCTGGGATGCCCGACCCAGCAGAGAAGCGGCATCCAGGACTTCCCCTTCTTTGGCTTCCAAGTCCGACTTGGAGGTGGTGAGGGGCCGGGGCCCCGGTGGGGCGCCCAGGCGGCTGGGGTCGTTAAGGCAAGCGGCGGTGCCACTGTCCAAACTCAACACTCGGGCATGCGTTTTGGCGCTACCTGTGCTGGGCACGCGGCGGGAGGCGCGCCGCCTGCCCCCGCTGCGCGCGCCCGCCTCAGAGCGCGCGGCTTTTACTGTGGAGGAGGAAGAGGAGGAGGGTGCGTTGGCTGCTGCATGCTTGGCTTTCCGGGCCCTGAGGTGGCCCTCTGATGAGTGGCGGGAGCGGGAGGTGGTGCTGGATGAGCTGTCTGTACTTACATGGTGGGCGGAGTGCAGACTGGAGGCACAGCTGAGTTCACTCTGATCGCTAGAGTCCTCCTCTCCACCAGTAAAGACAGCACAGCAGGGCTTAGCCACGCCGCGTAAAGACAAGTAGTCCCGGTGGCGGCTGGCGTCGAAGCTGCTCGCCCGTTTCTTGCTGGTCTGTCGGCGGCCGTTCCGTCCGGCCGACAGCGAGGAAGTCCTCTGGACAATGTTGGCCGGTCTTAAGAGAGCCTCGTCCTTGGCTGGCTCCTGTTCCGTGGCCCCTGCGCCCGGAGAGCCGTCGGCGCTGGTCCTCACGCCCGGCTCGTCCGGGCCCCCGCCGGCCTCCGCCGGCTCCTGGCCTGCGGCGGAGGGTGTGTCGGCGGTTTGTGTGGCGGTCAGCTCGTTGGCGTGGGGGTTCTTGTTGGCCTCTCTGGAGGGGAGGTTGCCGAGGCCTCGCGAGCTCAGGCTGCCGAGGCTGGAAGTCCTGCCGCCCGCGGGGGCGGTGGCGGGCGCGGCCTCCGCTCGGTCGCGGGCGCGCTCGTCCCCCGAGAGCGAGAGCAGGCTCTCCACGTGCGTGGAGCTGGTCTGCTCGCTGTGGAAGCTGCTGACCGTGCTGTTGGTGTCGCGGTCGGTGCCGCTGCAGTAGCTCTCCGTGGAGCCGCTGCTCCGGGTGCTGAGGCTCCTCAGGCTGTCGGCACTGCGCTCCCCTCCCCGGGACTTCCCCCCTCCGCTGGAGGCTTTCCCGCCCGCGCCCGCCTCCACCTGGTACAGGCCCGGGCTGCCTTCGCCGGCCTCCCTGGAGACCGAGCGAGCGACCCGGCGGGGCTCTTTGTGCCTGTAGCATTCCACCCCGGAGGTGGAGGGCACGGCCGGGTCCTGCTGGTAAAGCTGCTCGGCCCCCTCTCTGTCGCCCGCTGCTGGTCGGTGTGGCCTGGCGGCCTCGAGCTCGCACACGGGGTCGAGGCCCACCCTCCTGGGCGGCGGGTACAAGCCAAAGTCTGGCAGGCACGGGTCCGGGAAAGCGGAGCCCGCCGAGCTGGAGGTCCGAGGCAGGCCCCGGGTACGGGGCTCCTTCCTGAAGCTCTGAGACTGCATGGGTCCGTGGGGGATCACCTCCGTGTCGCAGGACGAGTGCGACAGGCTGAAGTGATAAGCGGCGGAGTTGCACAGGTCAGCAGGCTCCCTGGACAGCTCTGAAGGACACAGGGAGGTGGACGGCTGCAGGGAGGCGAAGGAATCGTTGGGAACAAGGCAGAACATCTTTGTGTCCGAGAGTAAATCTAAAAAGGGAAAAATAAAATGGAGAGAAAAACATTTAAAGTATGAAAACGCCAACACCACTGCTTGCTATGCCAGCGGGTTCTTACCATGATCGTGACTGCAGCTCTCGACAAGAGTCAAACTGACATCGTCCGAGGTTTTTCCCACATCTCCTGCAAAGGTGGGAAATAAACAGTTTAAGATTCAACGGCATAAATGGCATCAATTGTTCGCCGTACAACCACACAAAACTAGCCTCTACACAGGGCACATGACAAGACTTTGCAAACGCCTCTTCCTTGAAAAGGGCACAGCTCTACATGCAGAACAGCTAGAAAAACCACACCATCAACTGCTCTCAACAATTTCTCAAAAACCATAAGGGCAGCTTCACCTGTGGTAATATTTCCCTCATCTTAAATGTTTGAAAGCTCATTAACACAAATCATACAGATTCTTACAGGTCTTTAAATGTGGTTAATGCAGCCTAACCAAAAAGTAAAACACAGCAAAGACAGAAGTATGTGTGGAAAAAAAAGAGTAGCCCCCCCCCCCACAGGAATAAAGAAGGTATTAAGATGTGTTAACACAATGCCAAGGAGGAAAGACATCAGCTGTCTTTCCTCTTATTAAAGCAGTTGTTTTCATCACTCTGGGAAGAGTTATAGGATCATGTCCAAAATATTTGAAGAGATTCTAAAGTATCAAACAATTCTTTAAAGTTAGGGGGTGGGGGGGAATATTCAAAATCTACCTCTTCAAGAAAGAAGGAAATCTTAAATGTGTTTCTAAGCATCAGGCTGAGTAGAAGGGGAAGCTTAAAAAAAAATAAATCATCAACTTCAAAGCCCTTCTTCAGTTACAGATTGTTCCCTGTCATCACCACGATAATTAGAATGACTCACTGAATTATTCACTAGACACCGACACCTCAATCTAATGCCCGGTCTAACGGAGCCCCAGAGCAAAAGCTCCAAGTGAACTTATTATCCTCTGCTTTTTCCAATAAAGCCTTGCTCGCAAACGACTCCCATGCTGGGCGTCGCAGTCTGTTTCTTGGCTCCTGTAAAAAAAAAAAAAGGCTACAACTTTGGAACCTTCTCGGACGGGTTCCGTCGGGCTGGATGGGGTACCGGCTGCAGATTGCCGGGCGCTGATTGGCCGGGGCGTTGCATGATTAGGTAGGTAGGTAAACCCCGCCCATTTTAAAAACGGTGGCGATGAGGAACGCCTCATTTTATTACTTCCGTGTCCATAAACACGAATCAACAAGACCGGGATTTAGTCGCTTTATAGCTGCCGCGATGCAAATAAAAAATTTAAAAAATAATAATACAAAAAAGGATTTTGGGCAATCGTTTTTCACGCATGCAGGACAACATATTGAAGACCTGTAATTACCTTTAACAGCTGTTGCTCTCCCGTGTGAGGATGCAAGCTGAAATGCATACAAAAGCAGACAAACAAACGATCAAACTGTTTGTCTTTGAAAGAAAAATAAAGGGGAAAAAAATCTGGTTTGCACATAAAAAGACAATTCCTGTGACAAACGGTCTCTCCACACACCGACTATGCGGCGCAACGGCTTCTGTCTGTGAAGAGAAAAAGTTTGGGCTTCTCGGCCAACTGGCGACAGCAGCTGGAGCCAAAATGGATGTTTATTAGGGACTGAAGGACACACACACACACACACACACACACACACACACACACACACACACACAAACACAAACACAGCAGACAAGCAGAACACTGCACCCGCGGAGGGTAAATATATCTCATGGAATACAACAGCTAAACAACTCGGGATATTGGAGTAGACGATTCCTTACGCATCCATGACGAAAACAGCCTTTAAACACTGTTTATCATTATGACAAACTTGAAGTGTTTGCAGTGATGCCGTACAAATTAGGAACAGATATGAGTCTGTGCTAACAGCATCTGACGGCTACGCTGCTGCTAGTGAGTCGGGTTCCTGCATGGTGCGTCACATCTTTTAGATTGGTGAATAGGCGTTGTAAAAACGTTTGAATGGGTTTAAACTTCCCAAGGGCTTCAACACACTTATTTCCAAACCTGTTCAATTTGCCTAAGGACCAACTAACCAACCATTTAGGCTACGTTCACGCTGCCGCCTGAAGTGACCCAATCCGACTTTATTTTGCTCTGATTTGACCAATCGTTTCATGAGTGTGAGCGACTCAGAAATTGCGTTTTTTTCAAATGTGACCCAGCCAGGCGAACCTGGATATGTGGTCCCAAACCTGATAGGTGTCCGATCTTTTCAAACGTAACCTGAGACCTAATCGGTATTTGGGGAGGATAGCTCCATTCAGGCCAGATTAGAGAGAACTAGCAGATTTCTGTTAGCATTTCCCAAGAAATGGGTGAGCGTGGGTATAAATGTTCCTGGTTTCAATGCCATAGAAGAATAACGAGTCTGTGGGCCAAAGATAAGGAAACTGAGCGGATCTGGGTCGCTTCAGGTTGCAGTGTGAAGATAGCCTTAGTCTCTAGAATAGTCTGACCTAAAATCCTCCACTTTTACGAAGGCTGAAAAGTTCTTTTTTGACAAATAGATCTCAAGGATCGCTTCTTTTGCACTTAATGCGATTAAGAATCCGAAAACTAGTTTCAGCAGAAGATGAGCGAGTCCATTACCTGCTGGTTAGACTCCATCCCTATATAGGAGTTCCTGGAACTGCAGTCCACCGGTGGAGTATCTTGTCGGATGAAGTCTGCCATCTCGATACCCCCTCCAGGGTCCCTTTGCGAACACACAGACACATACACACACACACATATACTTTTAACTGCGGGAACAACCAGAGAAGCAGTCTGGGATAAAGCACAGCCGTCAGGGCCGAGACCCAAAACTTAACCACGAGACCAAATATCGTCTCCTGGTCCATCTTCAGCCCAGACGCGCTTGTTAAACCAGTCCGTGTGTCACAGCAAGCAACCAGTGAGGGGTACTACAAATCATCTCGCCCAACAAAATAAGAAACTTTTATTGCCACAACAAGCCCCTCCGAGTAATGAGCTAAAAATATTCGGCGAGGAGGTATGAAGGCAGCACGAGGACCGGTCGGGGGAAAAACCAGCGGGTGCCGGAGCGGAAACACCTTCATCAACATTAGCTCTGCCTGCCCGCTCCGCAGTAAACTCGCACAACCTGGAATGCTGCTCCAGATGTGCGGGCAAAGCTGTGACTGCAGGCGCCCCTGTGGTTGAGAGCTCCCGCTCCTCTTGTTGCCTTTCCCCTCTCTCAGCATCCTGCTAAGCTCTGCCCTCTGGAATGTGAATGTGAGTCACTTCTGCGACTCTGGGGCTGTAAAAGGCTGGAGCCTCGCTGGCCTTTTGTTTTTGTTCCTTCTGAAAGTGAGCTGAGGCCCCGTCAAAAGAAGGGCAGAAGAGTAGCCTTTGGGGCCCGGCGCCAGCATCTTTTCCTGCTCCGTAAAAAGTTTACCATTCGCAGGTAGTGAGGGCTCAGCTCACGCTTCAATTCACTTTCACCCTAACACTGCTTCAATAAGGTTTAGGGGCCTGGGCTCTGAGGAGGATTCAGCCGTCCTGTTGCTAACCATTTTCACTCCAGCTCTCGTGCCATTGGGCATACGCCAGCCTTCGCTTTGTTCACCTCTCCTTAAGAATGACCTCTTGACAGCAGCCCTGCCACGGAGACGATTTCTGAGGAGGCTTTATTGAACAGGAGATGGATTAATTCAAAGGTCAGATGCCTTTTTTTTCAGGTGCTGAGTCAGGGCTTTTGTGAACCCCCCCCCACACACCTCTTTTTCTTAAGAACATTCCCTTCAGATAGTCTTTGTCCTCCACTCGTCCATTTTCCCCAAATTTATTCAGGATTCAGGACACGGTGTACGCTATGCTGAGATATAGTTTTCAGCAATCGCTCTTCGGTAATCACTTGTTTGTCCATAGATAAGGTTGAGCTCATGTCCATTTGCGTCATTCTTTGGGGGGTTTTGATGCATCGGAAGAAATTAGACTTTTTAAAAGACGTCAAGTTTGCTCCATTATATTTAGGTGCAAAACAGGTCCATGCACTGAGTTAGGTCCCTTTCCCCCCCCAATACTTCAAGAAGTCATAGCTCTGTGTTAATGGACTTGACTAAAGAAAAGGACCTGGACAGAGGCTGGCTTATTGGGAGCAAACTATAAAAGCTATGGGTGGAAGCCTGCATTTACACAGTAATGTACCTCTTTAAGAAATATATGAACAAATAAAATATGTTGTTTAGCCAGTCTCTTAATACCAGAACCATTTCATTTAAATTATTTTATTTTCCTTTAATGAAGGCGCCTTTTGCCCTTGCTTCTCTGTTTTATCCAACTGCCTGACGGCTCTCAGACATCACACCCCCCCCCTCTGGCTGAATGACATGCCGGCTTACCCCGGGCCGTTCCTGTCCTCCCGGCGGGTGACGCCTCCATCGTTGGCCCCCTCGGTGCCACCTCTGCTGCCCTGATTCTCCTTGGCTTGGTGCTCCACCACCTCCCCCTCATCCAGGGCATGGTGGAGGCGGTAATTCACCGTCTTCAGCAGCAGGAAGATGGCAGCGATCACACCACAGTAGATTCCCACGATCACCATGGTGGGCGGCAGGGCCTAATGTTTGAAAGGGAGGCAGAAACAGTTGCTTAGCGGGTCTCTAACATCTGCATTTTACACAGCGGCCGGACCTAACCATTTTATTACCAGCCAACATCAAATTGAACAAGATCACAGAATTATTATGGCAGCATTCAAAGAAACAAACCGAGAAAAAGTACCCGCAGTGCCAACTTGACAAATAGAAGCAGGGCTTTAAAATGACAGCGTTCAGTTAACAAACAACCCCTGATGTACACTTGCATGTGGCAGACATGGATGGAGGGTCCAAAACACGGGGCGATTGCATTTAACCTGCGCGTGTACGACGCCCCACATGGCGTCAGATCCCCAGCTCCTGCATCCGGCTGCAGCCATCACAAACGACAGCCTTACTATATAAACCACAGGGCTGACCGGCGCACTCCCACTCCAGGAATAGAACTGAAATCTCAAACCCATTTGAAACATCAGCTCCAGGTCAATAAATCAACCGTAAACGGTTCCGGGAACAGTTAAGGGTGAGGATTTGGAAAGCACAATGACCCGGGTGGCCCCCGTGGCTCTATGATCCACTGCCCTTGTGAAAGTGAACCAACTGCTGGTGTGTGTGTGTGTGTGTGTGTGTGACATACCGGACAGCCGGGATGGCAGAAGCTGGCATCAGGCCTGGAAATGTACAAGTACAAGAAATGCCCCAGGAAAGCAACACAGATCAACAAAAAACAACTTACGAGGAATTAACTGAGCAACCACAAGCCATTCATTTGGGCCCCTTTCATGGGCATTTAAAACTCCTACCGTTCCATCCTTGCCAGCTGTCCCCTTGTGTTCACAGCTGGCAGATCCTAAAAGCTGGAAAACAGCGAACGACTGCCCACAGTGGGAAAACAAGTAGATAACGGGGGGGAAGGGGAAAAAATCAACCTATTCAGACTACAACCCTGCGACAAGGTTATCCGCAGTTAATATCCGACACTATGTAAATATACCATTTTTTAACAAAAGAGCTTTCTCACCCAATCGGATCGCGCACTCACAAAGGGGGGAACTTGAACCATTTAAGCATTATTTACCGACAATCCCGTCGGATCGATAGTTGCGTGGGAAATATGGAGTGCAATTCTAACATTTTGGTGACGTTTGGTCGGTCGGAAGAAAGGCTACATTGTCTCCACTCCAGATAATAGACCGAGACCGAGCGTTAGTATCCAGAGGCAGCTAACCTAATGGACCCTCGCTTTTGGTAACTTACGTTGTCAGCAGTAAGAGGAAGCGAGTCTTAAAAAAGACAATATTGTGGATTCGCACGGATATGGGGAGCTCACCATGTACAGCGTGAAGGGGAAACATAGCAGAAACAGCCAGATGTAGAGATGTAAAGCGTTGACGAATGTGTTCTGGTCGGGGTCGTAGTACCATCCGCCTGTGACTGAAGCCCAGACCCCCTGCCTCAGGATCTGGAGAGTCTGCGACCCCATGTCGTTTTAATCCACGCCGACGAACACGGGCGGAACCGAGCAGCCGAAGCTCCGGGGTGACACGCTGGCTAGTCGTCGTTCAACATGACAAACGGTGCTCTGTTTTCAGACAGTGGCCTCAAAATCCCCTCTGCAGCCATCTTCTCTGCTGCTAGCCGGCCAGCTGGGGCACTGTTTCAGTCCTCCACCGAGGAGTCTCCTATCCCACCACGCCCTGCGAGAAAGTTCTTCTTCGTGGAATCGGAAGGCAAAAGCCTTGGAATAAGAGTGGGAAGCGTCAGGGAAAGGTTGAAAATAATTCTAATACGTTTACGTGTAGTTTTGGCTCTTTAAACGAACAAACAAACTGAAACTTATTCTCTGTATTTTGTACATTTCTGGTATTTGTGTACGTAAAAAAATAAACGTCACTCAGTGGTTAACCAATAGCATGGAATAAAATTAAATCAGACAATTGGGACTTTGTTCCAAATATGACCAAATGGCGACCCCTAGCGGCTCGATGCCGTTTGACTTTTCAAAGCTTGGACACAGGAATCAAAATCACGTTACACGCCTACTCGGTTGATCTAATTTACAGATGATAAACGAGATAACTCTCGGAGGTGCTGGCATGATCAAAAGGACAGGAAAAACGACAGAAATTCAAATACCTATCGACTATCAAATGTTCTTTGTCTTTCGTTTCGTTTGATTGGTTTAAATCAAACCATCTAAAACTATGGCGGTGCTTGGAAATGAAATTAACACTTCAAATATTACTTTTAGGCATCAGAACTGTAGCATAATTGTGACATATACAACTATGTAGACCCCCTAAGATTAGTAGTTGATTTAAGGGTTTAAAATAGTTGGGTGTTTTTAATCAGTGGAATCACTGTCAGATGAGAAGATGTATCATGGATGAATCACCCTTTTTTTCCTGAACAAAGGAAAGAATGCTTTAACCATTATTAAGAACAGGTCCTATAAAACATTAAAAAATTATTTCCCAAATTAATATGGTTGATTTCAGAAAATTTAGGAAAAAAATGTCCATTAAAAGGGTCCAATCGTCTAAAGCTGATCCATCATTCAGAACTATCAGAACCTGGTAAATGAAGTTTTTACATTGAAGTCCTTCAAGAATTCTTACAAACCAGTTGAGGCGGAGCCATACCCTGGCCGTCATTTTTCTGTTGTCATTTTTCTCAACTTTATCTGTATGAGGTCATTGCAAAATATTTTTTCTAAATTTTCTAGTATATATTTCTAAAACACATAGTAGGTTGAACTATTAATTAAAATTGACATCTGTTTTGTTGATTTTATTCTTCAAAAAATGAAAATGCCAAATGAACATCCTGATGATTCCATCATTTTTGCAAAAGTGCAACAGACAAAAACTTACTTTAAACTTTTAAAGGAGGATTTGTAAATTTGAATTTGTCAGGAACTCTTCCAAAAATAAATCCTCCGGTAGATTAAAATAAAAAGAAAAAAATGTGATTCATGTTTAAAAAAAATCCAGTCATTACAAAACAGATATACATATTGTATTTCTAAAAAAAAAACTAAACAAAGTACAGTATTTCTTTCATAAAATGATGACAGTGTGTGTAAATAATAAAAACTTAAGTCAAGGGGCTTTTTGCAATAAAAATGAGATGGTGCTTTGATGCATCCTCCTGCAAGGCAGGCAGAGCGTTAAATGTCCGCTCTAGTCATTCCAACCATAATGCTGCCGTCAGCCGTAAACCGACACCAAAGGTTACGTCAGCTTATCATCGGAAAAACTCCATCCACAGTGAAAATCCTGCTGGCATCAAGCTGGTAACCTCTGTTCTCTGTGCAGCTGGCTGATCTGTACTTAAATGAAAGTGTCTGAAAAATAAAAAAAGAACGAAGTGTAGAGGAATGAAGAAAAACCACTGACACATTTATGGCAGTTCAGCTCAAGGAAGCAGGCCGCTTAGCAGTTTTGAAAGGGAAACATAAACATTTTGAAAGGAAAGTGATTCATCTTGGAAATGCTGTGAGAACTTTCTCTCATTTCTCCATCTTTGTACAGTGGTATGAGCGTGGCGTCACTGAAGCCTCGCTCTCTTCTCGGGAGGAGGTTTACTAGGCGGAGCAGTTGCTGAAGACTTAGTGGCTGGCTCCCTCTCCTCTTGTTTTACGGTTTCAGTGGGAGGTTCGGGCTCCTTCTTCACCTCAACTGCAATACAAGGGCCCGCATTTAGAAAGCAAACTTTGGCCTCATCCATCACACGTTTGACGATAAACATTAACTTATGCTGACAAGTATGATGTAAAAGCATTTACCTGGAATAGGCTTATCACCAGGTTTAGGCTGGATGGGCAAATCAGAAAAAAAAAGTATAATTTGAGCATAATTTAAATGAAAGTAATTCCATTTAGAAGCTGCTGTGTAGAGCCAGCATGAAACGTACCTGGTAGAAAGTTGGTGGAAATTTTGACCTGAGGTCCAAAAGCAGTGTGTCAACACGATGCCTCTGAAAAAGGGAACTGGGCTCCTCCTTCTTTTTAGTCTTGGGCTTGGCTTTTTCTGTGGGAAATTGTTACGTTAGTCGCCTTTGACAAACGTAACATCTTACACTTAAGCTCAAAAGGAATCATTCTTATATCACACAGTCCGGTACTGCTGACACTTACATAAAGCCCCATTTGTTTTTAGCATTGGAAATCTTGAAACAACAATAGCTAATCTGTTAATAGGAGGAATAATACCTAATTATGCACAAAGCAAACTTAACAAATGACCACACTCCTTACCTCTCTCCTCATGATCCTTAAAGTGCCACCAGTATCCCTTGGATGGGTGATAACGGCAATATGACATGGCCTCATCAAAAGCAGACTGGATTCCATGGACTGCAGAGAGCTAAAGCAGAGAGGGTTCAAATTCAAAACAGGCCTTGCAATATGATCTTCAACAGCATCTTTTATAATTAAAACAAAATGTAGTTACCACTCTAGAGCTGATAACTGTTCCCAGATCTGGAGCCTGATACACCACCCCTGCTATGATGTAGTAGTCAGCCAGGGGGATCACTAGAAAATAACCGTGAAAAAAGCTTAAGATGTTACACTGTTTATCTGAACACTGTTAATATGCAGTGACACTAATGAAAGCATAACCATAATTGCTTTGTTTTGTTTTCTTTTACTCTGTGCAACAAAACAATGATCACGGAGATACAAATGACTACATCCTTAAGACTACTTAATTAGTTTTTCAAGTGAGATAAACCCACAATACCATCAATGGCATCTTCTACATTATTTTGTGAGATCCCACATAGGGCACGTGATGGAATCTAGATAACTAAGTTATCATTTTTCTCAATGAAAATGTTATTGAATGTTATGATGCTCACCTTGTGTTGGTGACTGCCTCTGTTGCTTACGGATTATATACAGAATTGGCTCCTGAGCATGAAGGAGCACGTACTCCACCCCCACCATTTGACTGAAAAAAGTGCAGAAACAACACTGAATATTTCAAATGTGTTGCCTTTTAGGAGAAATACTTACACACTTGGAACAACTCGTTAATTTTAAGACAATTTCATTACATTTCATTTCTATGCATCACGTTTTTTTTTAGTTTTGTTGTCAATTTGTTTTTTGTCTGTTAGACAAAACATTTTGTCACTTACTTTTCACAAAGCACTACTTTAAGTTACACAACAGTGAGTATGATGAACTTACTTGAGATGCTCCAGAGTCAGCCGCTGCATCTTCACGACCTCGTTGTTGCAGGTTCGGTCATAGAAAGGATTGCTCCTCTCTGAGAAGTAGTCCAGTACATTTCCAGGGTTAAGAATTGGCACCCAGCCGCTGTCCACCCAGGATATCCCGAGAAGGTTGTCTGAAATCAACCAATGCAAAACTCGTAAACTACTCCATTTAATTTCCAGTTAGAAGTATTAGGTGTCATACGTGAATGATATGTGCAAAAATGATAATGATTGTTTTTCCTGCATCTAAACTATTGATTACCGAGACCTAGCATTTTAATACTTAGCATTGTTTCATGACGACTGACAACAGAACTAGATGTTAGAAAAACACGGTTTTACACATCCGTTGGACTTAATCAAACGTAACTCTGGACAACACAAAAAGTAAATATTCAGCATGGAAACTCAGACTATGAAACTGCTACAGTTAGCAACAATGACTGCTACCCAACGTTAGCTGAAGTGCTAGAAAGCTAAGTTGCTAACGTTAAGTGTTAATAAATCTATTTAAGAAAGAAACCGAACACAAAAACTAGAAACAACATATTTCTAAATTGTTGAACATTTGTGCCCAATTTCAAATTGACAAACTATAATTTAAACTGAAAAATGTTCCAATAAAACAATAAGACGAATAATTGTAAACCTCTGAAATCCACCGACGCCATAGTGTAAACAAATGGTCGCACAAATTTTACGTCATCACCATCGAATCGGTCGAATCTTGATAACGTCATCTTAAAAAAAAAGAAATTAACACAAAAAAACATGGTTGATACATTAATAAGTCAAAAGGTAGTTTGGGTTTTTTTCAACATTCTTTTTTCACATTAAAGTTAGATCATTTTATTTTTCAAAAACAAAATGTGTTTGTTTTCCACCATTATGTTTGTTGGTCGCTTCATGTACATTCAGGGCATGTTTATTAGGGCAATCTTATTTTGATTTTTGCCTGTTTCTAGTTGTTGAAAGCATTTTCTGTCGCATGTGCAAAAGCATAGATATTTATGCATTATGATAATAAATATGCATATTTAAAATTCCTTCCCAGATACATCATTCAACTTCACAGTTTAAACTCTTTCTTAAACTAAAGACTACTTATCTCACAATGAAGTTCAATAATTAAAGAGGAGTAATGTGTATAAAATGTACTGCATGTGTCGTTTCTAATTTTTTTGTCACGACGACAGACCAAGTGTTGGAAGTGTGCAGAAGCTTATTGCTGTTAATTACCTGCCAGTTTTTGTAGGTAATTCTACAACACTCTATTCCCAGTTCAAGACATACATCTTACCTTTTTTTTTTTTAGAGCGATAGTGCATTTTTGGGCATGATTACATCGAAAGGGTACACAAGTGAGGCAACAATCAGTCCGTTTTCCAGATTTACAAATATATTTTTTTCTGATCACTATCCTAGCAGACTTTCCAAACACCCGTAGTTAAATGGGGAACAGTCTTACTGTCTACATATTAAACCGACTGCATTTCTAAAATAAATAAAAATGAAGAAGAAAAAAGCCAAGTCAAATGTGAATGATCCCCTTCAGATTTTGAATACCACGGTGAATCTGGATAAACATTACATCACTGCGTAAAACCCCACTCTGTCATGAGAATGTTTTGGGTTTTGCTGCAGTGTAGACCAAGCTGCTTGAGCAAAAAGTCTGGCTGATCTTTATCTGATTCATCCCAGCAGAGATGACTGCATTCCTCCAGTGTGAGATAAGACGGCGACTTGCCGTCGAGCAGAGATGAATTTATTATTCTCTAGAGATCCAACATCTTCTCTCAGGAGGATTACATGTTGCGGTCTCCAAATGTGCTCGTCATACACCACGCGTTCTGAATTACCAACGTAAAACAACAGCCTGCCAAGCTTTAACGCCCACAAGGCTAAGGCAGGGGTCTTATTTATTATTGTAATTCCCATTTTTTTCATATAGTACAACATGCAAACTTTGTTTTGTTTCTCTGATACATAAAGCCCACTGTGTCTGCATTTATTGGCCAATCGGCGCGTCAGAGCGGAAAACACGGGAGCGGAGGAACGCGCGGCGCGCAGGGGTTGCGCACGGAGAGGACGTAGCTACGACACTGGCGGAGCGAGAGAGGCGCGACTACGACCGAGAGGATGCAGTAGAAAAAAAAAAAGCCCCCCCCCCCCAGTATCCCAGCTAAATTCCACGGCCCGGGCGATCATCCAGCAGCGACCGGTGAAGATGAGCGTGAAGCAGGCTGCGAACGAAGGCAGGGTGGAGGGAGGCAAAGGCAGTGTGGGCGACAGCGGCTCATCGAAGCTTCAGCAGTGCGCTCAGCCCCCCAACAGCAGCGGTGGGAGCAGTGGCCGGACCAGAGACGCCAGATACCAGCAGCTGCAGCAGCAGAGGCATCATGGTGGGTCGATGCTGAAGCAACCGTCTCACAACGAGCCGGCCGACGTGGTGAGGCGGGCGCTGGACTTCAAGTGCCAGGGCACCCAGTGCTACAAGGACAAGAAATACCGAGAGGCGATCGGCAAGTACCACCGCGCTCTGCTGGAGATCAAGGGGCTGTGCAGGGTGCTGGGGGATCCGGACGCCGGCTCCAAGTCCCCGTGCCCCCTCCTCCCGACCATCAGCAAGCCCAGCACGCTGACCGACGAGCAGAAGGGGGCGATGGAGAAAGCCGAGCTGGAGTGTTACAACAGCCTGGCAGGTGAGAGGACGTTCCTCGCGCACCTTTCGTCCAGATGCACGCAGGGATGCCTCTTTTAAAAGACACAGATGCTGGGAATGTTCCAGAGCGCTTGAATGATTCATTACAAGCATGAGTCACTCTCAGGATCACCCCATAGTCTTTTTGATTTTCTCCTTTGAGGTTTCCCGTTACCAAATCAATCGTGTGATTAAGTAAAAGGCCCCTTATTTTCCTGCCACTTTGGGCACCCACCATTGCTGATGCTATAGATGATGAAAATTCTAATATTAGCTGATGTGGTCTGACCCGTTGTTTTTTTCCCCCCATTAACCCTTTCTAGCATGCCTTTTGCAAATGGAGCTGGTGAACTATGAACGGGTGAAGGAATATTGCCTGAAAGTGCTTCATAAGGAGGGAAAGAACTTCAAAGCTCTCTACCGGTCTGGCGTGGCCTATTACCACCTTGGAGACTTTCAGAAGGCCCTCTACTACCTGAAGGAGTCACACAAGCAGGAGCCATCAGGTTAGGGCGGTCGCCATCATTTCTTACTTCCCTTTTCGTCAGATTTGTTTGTATACTCACTAAGAGCTCTATCTGAGCATCTTGACTCTAAATGCCTCCCAAAGATTTATGAAACTGAGTGTGAGTGCAGAGTCCCCGATTGAAATGTGTTGAAATAGCCAATTACAATGACCTTTTCTCTCTCTCATGAAAGCATAACAATGCATCATGTGGCATTCAGGGACAGGAAGAGGTCTGTGGAAAAGAAAATGTTTTCCAAAAACAAGGCCAGGCAGAGGCAGGAGGGAAAGTGGCGAACAGCAGATATATATGCTTGGGAGCTCATTAAACAGATTGCAAATCTTGCCATGACTACAGGCGTGGACCACTGGGGAAAAGGGGACAGTAGGGAACAGTAGGCTGGTGACTGGCAGCAGAATCACCGTAAACATTTTCACGTTGATTTGATTATGTAAGATTCTACTCCCGCAACGTCCCCAGAGCTAAATGGGGTCGTGTTCATTTGTACCATTACTGCTGCCTCAGATCTTTTTGCATAGGTTGCCCTAACCAGTGGAGGCAAATGGCCGCCCTCCGTGAGCCTGGTCCAGCCAGAAGTGTCGTCCTGTTGTTAGGAGGTTTTCCTCCTGGCTGTTGCCAGGTGCTTGCTTACGGGGTGGATCTCTAAGATACTGTGAGGTTCTGCCCTTTCTGCTGAAAACATCAAAGACAAAAAGACAAAAGACAACTTAGCGGTAAAAAAATGGTTGAAAATCAGATCTATTGGCCCTTTTTTTTTTACTTCCAGCCTGTGGTAAAATTGGATGGAATTATTGCACCAGCAGTGAGACTTCCAGAGAACTATTGGCCAAAATCCCTGCATATCTCAGCATGGGGGCCTATGTGTTCTTAAGTAATTCAAGAAAGGCCAACAAAAAAGTCTACAGCAGATGAACAGTATCTGAAAGCAATACCCTAAAAACAAGGAGAAAAATACCTGATTCAGAACCTGAAAGATGCCTGGGTGTTTATGAAAGTGCAACTACCAAGATTTTTTTAATACAATATATTAAGAAATGAGGAGTTTTTGTAAAGTACTGCGCAGTACTGCACATTCACTAATTAGAATGTATATGTGAAAGAGCACCTGAGTTCCACAGTTGGTCCAACATGACTTTGTTCCGTGTAGTGGGGAGTTCAGTTCAAGTGGATGATTTACGAGCGTATCGATGCACCGCTTCCTGACTGAACAGGAAATTAATCACCGTCTTCCTGCCTTTGTTTCCCAGACACCAATGTCATCCGCTACATCCAGCTCACAGAGATGAAGATTCGCCGAAATGCCCAAAGGGAGAAGAAAGAGGCGACATAATCTCGCTCTGCACCGATGACTCCGCGCCCGCCGTAACTTTCAAGCCCCACTGTGCCACCTAGACCTTAAACGCCACAATTCAGAGGTCCTAGCGTGAAATCATGCATTTGTTTGCTTTTGCCTTGCACTCCACACGGTTGCCGGTTATGTGATTGAACTTCATTGTTGTCTGCTTGGAGTGTTATTGTTGGGGCTGTTTTTTTTCTTTTCTTGGGGGCATGGGGCTTTAATGAGAGAAATACCGTACCAGTTTTGTTTTGTTTGTTTTTTTCCTTGTATCTCTCCTCAAACCACTAAACCCATTGAGTAAAATCCATGTGTTCTAACCATTCCAAACTGATGCACTGCCAGTCCAGACATTGCACATAAAGGCCATACACCTAGTGGGGCAACAAGGTCCACAGTTCAGAGTATCCGGAGGCGAGTGTTGCCGTAAATTATCACCTGCCCTTGCACAAGATGTCTTTTCAATGCCTTGGAGTAAGTGAGTTACAACCACCTATACTTGTGTCACCTTACGCCGATTTTGAAAGTACTGCAAAAGTCACAGTTTTTTATACTCTTGATTATAACTGCAGTGACGGTGCTTTCAGTAAGTTAGTTTATAGAAAAAAAAACTAAACTAAACAAAAAAAAACAGGGAAAACAAGAGCACATGATTGCCAGTAGTGGAGATGAGCTCTAAAGACATATCATATATGTACATAGGCAACTTTATAAAGTCACATGACTTATATGATGCAAAGGGAAGCTTATTTGTGTTTATTAATGCCAAAATAAAAGCACTTCATTCACAGCATTTTACTGTGTGTTCAGATGTATGTGTATAGTGAAAGTGTAATAAATGTGTCTATTGATCGAAATCCTTCTCCTTTTGTGGTGCTGCTGATGATTCCCATGGGAATTAGTTAAACCACATGAATCACATTTTTAGTCAGTTTCACATTTTGTGTCAAAGCTTTTCAAGATCCATCTTCTGCAACTGAGATAGAGAGGATTTAGAGGCTATAGGGTCAGCACCCCTAAACTTGTTCTGTTCCTCAAACCCTTCTCTTGTGGTGTGGTAGTGGACTCAAAAAGAGGCCTCTGTAGAATTTAAGTAAGGTATAAATGTATAAAAATACTTTTCACAGGTTTCGGATCACATTCTTATGCTCGTCCATAATTTTCCCTCCAACAAATATAATCAACCTGTAAGAATGAATTATTTGTTTGACTTAGCTTGAGAGTGGACATCACATTGAGGTTTATAAGTGTAACATCTTTGTTTAAAACGGCTATTCTGATGAACACATCATTGATAACATGAGGATTTACCTGGAAATGTAGGTCTAGCTCCTTATTTAAATGACAAAACAAATGAATCAGAGATTTTTAACCCTCATGATTTTACTCAAATCAGTGTGTGTCAGTGCAAATACAGGTCAGTCAATAACAGTAGAATTGTCAACCCAAACTAAATCCGCTTGCAGCTTATTTGTGGTAACATTTCAGATAATTAGACCTTTGCATAATTTCAACTAGCACCAGTAGTTGAAAAACAGTGGTTGTAGTTTGAGCATGATCACATTCTCTGAGGTCCCCAGAAGAGATAGCATTCACATTTACAAGATAACGATGAGCACGAAGAGAGATCCAACATTAGAGGTCACTTAATATCTGAAGAAGAAAAATGAAACGGCGAGAGTCTGACAGTACCTGTGGAGAACGTCTTTCGCTGTAGCTCTTCTTCTTCACCCAGTGGGCTGAAAGTCATTAAATATAATCAGCAGAAGCAGAAGAGTCTTCCCTAAATATCTCAGAATGTCAAGCAAGGTATGGAAATTAATTTAAAAAATATAAAAAATTATATAAATAAATAGAATCAATAAATAAAAATGAATTGATGAATAAATATAGAAAACATTCAATTCCAGCTGAGGACACAGCGCTACACATTTATATAGAAACATATACACACATATATATAGATACAGAATATATATATATGTTTATATATGTGCAAAAGCTGAAAATGGCGAAAAAACATTCATATCCATTCAAAGTCAAAGATCAAGGCAAATGCAAGTAACCATGTAAAAAAATCAAATAAATAAACGGATGAAAACAATAAGATAAATCGATAAAAACATAAATAATCCGGAGCAACCCTAGTCCCGCCCCTCCATTCCACAAACCTCCAATAAGCTCCTCCCAACACCTCGCTCACCATTTCACCAGGGGTACAAAAAAAACAAAGTTCCCTTTAAGTTTGGAGAAATACTTTCCAACTGGCTGCTCAGGCAAATAAATGATTCAACGTCTCTTCTGGGTCTTTCCGTTTTGCGGCTTGTTCACATTAAGAAGTGCTCATATACCCGACAACAGCCCGCCCTGCCGGTGGGATTCCACTGAGGAGACGTGACGGGTGACAACAGGTGGCCGGAGCAAAACGGGAATCCGCCCGCCACCAGTGCAGGAGTGAGAGAAATTTCTGTACAGATCACATCGTATGATGGCGGTTTTGTTGACAAATTACAAAGAAACACAAAAAAAAAAGACAATCCCCCCGGAGCTTTACATTCACAACGCTTTCCAAAAGTACACTTTCATTAAATGCACAATCTTCAACTCGACTTTGACTGAGAGAAGTCTGTAAAGCTTTGAAAAGTCATCTGCTTTGCTTTAATGCCATCATCGGTTTACACCTAAAGAATAACAATTATTAGACTATTAGATTTGTGTTTGCTCCTCCTCTTATTTCTTACAGCCTCACTTTCATCATAGTCCCCGATTTTTTTTTTTTAAAGCATTGTTTCAGCTGCTGTTGATGCCAAACCGAATGATTATCTTGCAAAGCCCAATGAAAGTATCAGAAAGGATCAGTGCCGGGGGCTAATTTTCCAAAGCAGATCGGTGACGGACGGCAAACCAATTCCGGTTTCACCTCCAGACTAAGTGACCCAGGATTGTGACATTCCAAAAGCTAACAGCGGCTAACAGTCTCGATCAAGTTTCCGGACCTGGGAAGCGTTGCGCCGAGTCAGGACCAGAATCCTGGCTTGTAGCGGTAAGGGGAGTCTCTGGGCCGGCCGACCTCGGGTCTGCAGAGGGGCACCGTCCCGTCCCGGGTCTGCCCCTCGTCCAGCTGGTCCAATAAGTTCCCCCCCCCCCGGCGGGGGGAGTAGGGAGTCGGGGCTTCCATGGGGGTGGCCGGCACCGCCGGGTCTCTGCCGAACTCCACCGTGGGGGGAGTCTCTGTGCTGGAGGTGTGGGACGGCGACTCGCCGGCGCCCGGCCCCTGCCCGTTTCCCCGGGGCCTGGCCTCGGCCCAGAACAGGTCGCCGCGCGAGCGGGGGGACGGCCGGGGCCGGGCCACAAAGTCCAGGGTTTTGGGCCGTTCGGGAGCGCAGCGACGACGAGGGGTGGGAGGGAACACCACGTTGGGATCGGGGAGCCGGGGGACATCTGAACCATCTTCTTTCAGACCCCTGCAACCGCCTGGGGAAGGGGTGAAAAAAAACGGTTGGAGACGGCAAGCGTTCGCAGACCTGTGTCTCAAAGAAATCCCTTAACTTCAATTCAATTCAATTCAATTCAATTCAATTCAATTCATATAGCGCCAAATCACAACAACAGTTATCTCACAGCGCTTTCCAAACAGAGCAGGTCAGACCCTACTCTGAAGTTAACTACAGAGGCCAAACAATTCCCACCAAGAGCAAGCACTAGGCGACACAGGCGAGGAAAAACTTCCTTTTAACAGGCAGAAACCTGGAGCAGAACCATGGCTCAGGGTGGGCAGCGGCCATCTGCCTCGGCCGGTTGGGGATGAGAAAGAGAGAAAGGGCAAGAGAGAGAGGGCGAGAGAAGGACAGAGGGAGCAGAGAGGCAGCCTACACACCGTAACACATATATACCTGTGCTCTCCAGAGCGGCTCTCTCCGGCAGCGGCTCCAGGCTGTTGGGGGGGCAGCTCTTCTTGATGGCTCCGTCCGACGGCGTCCGGCGGAGGCCGCGCGAGGCGCTGGGGGCGCAGGGCACGTGCGTGGGCGTGAGCGACTGGCGGGGGTTGCGCTTGAAGCTCTCCACGCGGGTGTTGACCAGCGGGTTGACGGCGGGGGCTTGAGGCGCCCGGCCGGGCGGGCGGAGGGGGCCCCGGGAGGCCGGCGAGGCCGGGCGGCACACCAGCAGCTCCTCGCTGTCGGAGCGCAGCAGCGAGCGCGTGGAGTTGCAGTCGGACGGCGAGGAGAGGGACAGCAGCGTGTAGGGTGGGGGGGGCGGCCCCCGCTCGGGGGGCGAGGGCGCCGCGGGCTTCAGCGGGCTCTCCCGCCGGAACAGGCCGCGGGCCGAGGGGCTGCCGCCCGGCCTCTGGGCGCCCGCCCTGTGGAAGAAGCCCTCCCAGCGGGGTCTGGCCGCCTCCCCGGGCGGGGCCAGCGCCAGCAGGTTGCAGCCCAGTCCCACGGCGGCCAGCAGGGCGCCGCATCCCAGCAGCACCAGCTCGGAGCGCCGCCCCCCGCCGGGGCTCCTCTTGCAGGGCGGCGTGGCGGGGGCCCGGCCGCCCAGGCAGTACTCGTCCCCGTCGCCGTCCGCGGCCGAGGCGCCGGGGGCCTCCTTTTGGAAAGGGATGCAGAGGTAGGACTGACCAGAAGCTGCTCCCGGCTCAGCCGCGAAGCAGCAGTCTTCGTTTTCTGAAAAAAACAACAGAGTCATTTCACCACTTTACACTCAAGCAGCTGTATTCTGACTATGCGATGCTCAGTACGTCATCCGTCTAAATTCTTTTTTTTATTCTTTAAGTAAATTATACTTCTTCTGTAACGTGTCGTTTCTACTCATATGACTGCAAACATGATCATTGGTTTAACAACTCAGAGCACAGCGAGATCCAAGTGTCCGTCTCAGTTTTGCCACATGTTCTCTGCATTACATGCGGAGAGAGCGCGCACGTAAGAAATCTACTAAAACTGGCCTGCTGCCTACCTATCTCCAAAAGGCTTGGCACGCCAGGCACAGCTGGGCTGTGTCTGGGAGATCTGCGAAGGTTCGGGGCGCTGCAGGACCGCTGCCTGCTGCCCTCATGGGGAGGCTTCACACTGAGAGCAAGGACAGATATTTATTTTTTCTTATTCTAGAAGCTAGAACATGCTTTCAGATCTTTAAAGAAACTAAAGGGGCGTGGGGGTGTCTTAGTCTCACCAGGCGTCGGCGCTGTGCTCCCGGTATACGCCACATCCACGGGACCGGCCCTTCTTCCTGGACCCTTTCCTCTCGATCTCGTCCTCCGTCTGCAGGAGACCTGTGCAGCGGCCCCAGGCTTTGCACCCTTCCGCCGGAGTCACTATCGAAAGAAGGATATGTTTTTTTTTTTTTTAAAGGAAAAATTAAAGCCAAAGAAAACAAGGCAATGCAATAAGCGGATGGCACCTACGCTGGATGGCCCTGAGGCGAGGCAGCATCAGCGGGCTGCTCGGAGGGCTGGAACTGCTGCTCATCAGACTCCTCCGGCGGTCATGGGAAGGAGATGCCTGCACTGTGATTTTGTGCTGAAAATCTGAAGAATGTCAATAAAGACAGAAAAACAAAAAATCACAGATTTATATTAAAAAAACAACAACAAACGTCAGTCTTCCACCTTAACAGCTTTTATGACATAACCATGCTTTTTTCTTAAAGGGCTTAACAAAGCTTACAGTAAGATTCACTATCACAGAATTATATTTATTCAACTTTTTGTTGTCTTTGAAAAAAATGTCTGTATGTACTGTAATGCTCTGCATTTAAATGTGAGATCGCATGCCATGTCGTTTCTGGGATGGATTTAGGTTTTAATTTTTGATGCGAAACAATTGTGTGATGTAAAAAGTCTTATGTTGATGATCATCTGAGGTTTGTGTATAATTCTACGATCTGGTAGGGACCAGATGGGATTTTTTTCACAATTGTTACAGCATTTAATGGGAGTATTTCCCTTTTCCAATTAGCAATAGTTGCAACTTAATAATACAGGAAAAAAAGGTCAAAATTATCCTCTTAGCAAGCTTTCCGAAGCATAAAATCGCAAACTAGCATAATGTCCCTGCACAGGTGTGTGCAACGTACCTGACGGCAGACTTATCCTGTTCCCGTCCTTGAGTTTAAGGCGGTTGCGGCGGAACTTCCCCTGTCTGCTCTCCACGCGGGGCTTCTCCTGGTAGAGCTGGTGAATCATGATGTTGAGCTCCCGCTCCAGGATGTGGATCTCCCGTTCGGCCAGCTCCTGCTCGCGCTTCCTCAACGCCTCCTCCTGACACTTCTGCTGCAGCGCCGCCTGGGTCAGCTCCTCCTCCCACGACCGCAGCTCCTGGAAGGACCAAACGGGGAGAGGGAAAGTTAAGCTTCACAAATGCTGCGAATTAAAAAAAAATCATCAGGTGAAGAAGAGGCTGTGGTTGATCTGAATTGTTGCAGCATTCAAGCTCTCGTCACCTTCTCCTTGGTCCTCAGCTGATCAAACATTTCTTGGATCTCCAGTTTCCAGTCGTCCTGCAGAGAGTGGAAGGACTCGGCTGGCATTTCGAAGAAGCCCGACTCCTCGATGGCCGTGAGCTGATCCAGAACAGTGGTGAATTGTGGTCGATAGTGAGGATCTGGGCTCCAGCAGTCTGTGGCAAATGATGAAAAACAGCCTCAGACATTTGGGTCAAAATTAGCCCTAAACATTTCCTTTGTACCCTTCAAAGGTTCCAGAGTGTAACAAAATATGCAGTTTGGTTGTCTGATCTTTGTCAAATGTATTTCAGAGGCAGGGGGTTGCTACAGTGAATGAACACATGCAAAGGCCGTGTGGTTGCTTGTCCCATTTCTAATGTGAAATAATGACATGCTTGAAATACTTCTAAAATGGGTTTTGGGTGCATTTCAAAAACTTTGCAGGATCCATTTCCTCTGCAAATAAAGTGACATTTTTTTTAAGATGTAAAGAATTACTTTTGTTTTAAAACTAAAAAGGGATCTGTTTATGAAAAGATGAGAAAGATGGATCAGATATGTCACTCAGATCCATCCATCCTTTGTATAGCTCTTGTATCCATTTCCCCTTTCTTCCTCTTTTTTCTATGCCTTTCCTTTTCAACCTTTATGCATCAGTACATCATTTACTTATTTTTCCAATTGTATAACAGAAGTGCAACTAAGGTCTTAGCCAAAGGAGTTATGTTCGTAATCTTTGTATGTTATTCATTTCTTTTTGTGTGTGTGTGTGTGTGTGATAGAGGGAGAACCAATAATCCCCATCTGTATATCCTGTGGAATTGTGGATGTTAAACAATGCTGTTGTAACGAACAGATAGCTGGATATGACCGGTGTGTTTTGTTTAACAATGAAAATAACAATAAAAATATAATTGGAGAAAAAAAAGGGACGGTGTTATCCTTACTCTCCATAAGACGTGCAAAAGGCTCAGGGCAAGTAGAAGGGACGGGCAAAGCCAGCTTGTTCATTGCCACTCCGTAAGCCACGGCGAGGCCGTCGATACCTCGGAACGGGACCTCTCCAGTCAGCAGCTCCCACAGGAGCACGCCGTAACTACACAAACGGAACGAAAAGGGAGAAAAAAAAGCCTGAGTGCAGCACATGGAGTGTAAAAATGCAAGTGTTCACATTTTTTAAAGCCAGAGAAAGAGAGAAAGAGAGAGAAAGAAGGCTTAACACGATTAAATCTGAAGATCTGGTCATTCCATTTTTTTTTCTTTCGTAAAAAATGCGAGGAGGAATGAATTCATGTTGAGCAGGATGTTTGCTAAAATAGACAGAGAGGCCACTGAGCACATTTCATCTCATTATGTGTCAAAATGGGACTAAATTGGCTTCAGCTCCAACAAATTCTAAGGCGAGACAGAAAAAGGTCCAAAATTCACACACAAACATTCACACATAACAGACTCAAGCATGATAGTCACATTTGTCCAGGTTCACTGAGGATCTTTCAAAGTTTTCAGCTGCTTTTTTTTTCATTTTCACTTCAGCCCTCAACCAGAAGAAAATGTTTGTCGTTGTTATCACTATTACTCAATATAGAAAAATAAAAAAAGACACAAATGACACAAGAATCGGATTAAAAATAAACAAGGTCTTATGGAGGGATCAATCTTCCCACATGCTATGTGGGTAATTATATCTATAAAATATATAAAGGAATGACAAGCATTCATTTAATTGATCTGAAGTTTTAACTTGGAAAAATAATTAGGAGAGTTGGTGGAGCTATAGTGATATTATAGCCCGTATATATGGGGAGTGTTTGGACATTTCATGTATGTGCCTGTAACAAATCTTTTCTTGTGGTTGGTGTGAGTTTCCCTCTTTATCTTCTCAGTCCATTTCCTGCTGTTTGTTCACCGCAGAACCTCCGTTCTCTGCCCACCTCCACACGTCGCTACCCTTGGAGAACGTCGATGAGCGGATAACCTCGGGAGCCATCCAGGCGTAGGTCCCGGCGGCGCTCATCTTGGTGGTGCGATGCCACTCTCTAGCCAGGCCAAAGTCTGTTATCTTCAGAGTCTTGTTGCTGAGATCCTCCATCTCGACCCTCTCGAGGATCAGGACTGCAGGGGTAAGCGGTGGTGGAGTGATGGGGGGGGGGGGGGGGGGTAAGGAGGTTGGAAGATGTGGGAGGTATGGGGTTCGTGCAAATTGGCCGGTGAGTTTAAAGCAAAAGGTGTGGGGTCAATCATCGTCGTTGGGATTTGAAATGTTGGGAGGGGCCGAGGGAGTTCCACAGTGGGGCCGTTTTCATGTGGTAATGCAAAATGATAGAACAAACAAATTGACACATGACAGGTGAACAAAACAGGGTGCGGTTGGTGGGCATGATGAAAGGATGAAAAGGATTAAAGCAGAGAGGAAAAAAGAGGGAAGAATGAGAGAAACCAAGAGACAAAGAGCCCCTACAACACAGCAAACCGGAGCTGAAAAAAACACCCCGTTGATTCCTGCTGCTGTTCACTGTGGATTTTTTGCAGCAGGCGAACACCGAAAGTGGAGTTTAACTACAGAAATAGCTTGCTGCGAGACATCCATTTGCTCTAATAAGTGCAAATGAACCCCCCCCCCCCATTCCTAGCATGCTCGGGCAGAGCGGGACTCCTCCTAACCACATGCTTGGCTCCACGGTGCCAGGCCATCTGCTGTGGCCGTGCCCAACCAGGAGGGCGTGTCGGCAGGCTTGCGGTGCACATCAAGAAACCTCCTCATCTGCTATTCATGTGGCTCATAATGCCACGGCAGCGGCTTCCAAAGAAAGATCACCCAAAACATTTGGCCAAAGTGAGGGGCAGCTCCTGTTTATCTGAGGTTAGCTTTAGCTAAGGGCTTCTAATTGTATGTTGCACAAAGGGCCAGGAGAGGTTAACGGACCATTGTGGTTTGAATTATTCCTGAAATGAACAGGACGTATTTCCAAATTTTAAAAAAAGTTTTTTGCCTTAAATCTGAATTGAATTTGTAGGATAATTCCCTCAAATTTGGTGAGATGAAACATCTCCGAGGAAATTTGCTATCCTAAATTAAACAGCTTCCAAAAGTAAGTGGCGCTTTTGGGATGGTGCTGATGTCTGTCTGCCTCCAGCGTGTGTGTTCAGTTTGCTGCTGAGTGTAGCTCACTGCCCTCTAACTCTGGTTCCACTGCACGAGGTCGACTGTCAAACTGCAAAGGCCTCTAATTGTTCACGTTATGATCCGTGAAAAACAGCAGCCTGCGAATGGCTTAATGATATGGTGTCCTGTATCTATCTTGAGGAGATTCGATATTCTTTGTCTGACAATCAACATAAGTTCCTGGATGTTTGGGGTCCTTTCAATAGATACATACAAAACAATAGGCTAAAATAACTGTTGTTTACATCTGGACCTGTTTTTTTTTTGTTTTTTTCTCTAATAATTTATTTTACTCATTTACCGCTTCGGCATGTTTATTGTGTTTATAACTTGTTTTCATCTTCTCTTGTTATTCCATATTCCATGGTGGGCTGTTTGATTCAATGTCCTCAGAAATGTCTCTTACTTGCTTGGTCTCTGTCTCATGCTCGATAACATTCTACAATCTGATGTGCATTTATTTTATCTTCTTATCAGACCCTTTGTTAGCTGACAGTGTTTTGATTGTCTGTTCTGTGAACTTTTGTTTTGTTGTCTGGTTAGTTTTTTTTTATTTGTATTTTTTATTTTTATCCTTGTTGTTTTGTCTTTTAATTTGCCTGTTTATTCTTGAAAATCATAAATAAAAAGTTAAAAAAAAAAAAAAAAAAAAAACAAAAAAACACTTTAATTTTTAAAATTTCCCTATTGATCATGACCTATGGGCAAAAGCAGAAATACTTGTTTTCAGACATCGAGTTCAGTGAGCAAAAGCTGACAAGTTGCTAGACTTCAAATTTTTGCTCTCCTTTGAGTGCACGTGTCTGTTGCTCAGCATCTCTTAGCTTCTCCGTAAACTCATGCACGCAGAGATTCACTGAGTATCTTCTTCTTAGCCATCACTTTTAAAGACCCACTGACCTTTTGAGCTCTGGCGGCAAATCGAGGGCATAAGCACCTCACTGAGGTGCGTAAATTAGTTTAAGGCCCTTTACTTTGGATAAGCCATAAGCTGTGTGTCAAGATAACAAAGCCATAAATCAGCATTCAGAGTTTGCGACTACTGATGCCTGTGTGGACGAGCCGAGGTTTCATGTTTGAATAACGGGTTATAATTGGTCAAATGAATGTTCCTATGAAAATAGAACTAAAAGACTAAAGAGAAATTTAGAATCCTTCGTCTTACAATTCAATGTTTAACTTAAGGAAGGGATCGTGGCTTTCTGCTTTCTCCTGCCGTGTAGGTTTCCCCCTGCAGACTCAGGATGGCAGCTAGTTAGACTGACTTTAGCACTTTAAAGCAGCCTATTGAAAACCAAGCGCCTGAGACGATCGCCACGGGACCAGCCAATGGCAGGCCAGAGTGTTGTTGTAGGCCTAGCCGGAGCCTCCAATAGGGAAACTTGAGCAGGGCAAATCCTCAGTAATAGGCTTGGGATTTAGGGGATCCACTTGGGCAGAATGCACTACAAACGTTTCACAGATGTACGTGCTAGTGTATTTTCCTGTGCTCATTTCTCAGTTATAGGTATTATAACTGCACGATATGGTGATATATTTTCAAAATGTAGCTTGTGTTATATTCTGAAGGTGCATATAAGAATGCTTTTTTTCTTCTCCAGAAACAATACCCATTTTCACTGGGTAAACTGTGGGGGGTTGAGTTCGTATTAGGCTGTGGATTATTACCAGGGAGAAAGTCGGTGCTTTTATAGATCATCAGATTACTGACTGAGGAAATCAAACCTCCAAGTCTAAATGTAATCTGAAAAACGCTGAGGCTTTGAAACCGATCACGTCTGGTTGAAACTCAAACTGTACTTGCAGCGATGAAAAATAACCAAATAAAATAGAAATAATAATTGGGTAGAAGGTCAGAATACTAGAGAAAAATGCACTTGGAAAATTCTCTCCCTATTTCCCTCCGTTTATTTTTCTAACGTCATCGCTTGATTTTTACTACCGCTTAAAGAGAAGGAACCTTACTGTTGCTGGACTTCAGGTCTCTGTGAATGATGGGGACGATGGCCTGGCTGTGGAGGTAGTCCATGCCGCGGGCGATTTGCACGGCCCAGTCCACCAGGGTGCAGGGGGGGATGCGCTTCCCGGCCAGGGCCCGGTTCAGAGGGCCCCCCCTGGCGTACTCCATCACCAGGCACAGGTTGGGCTCCTGGAGGCACACGCCCAGCAGGGCCATGATGTTGGGGTGGCTGAGCATGGCGAAGAGCTTGGCCTCCTGACGCACGCTGTCCAGCGTCTGCTCGGCGTCCTCGTCCGGGTCCCGGCGGGCCGCCTTCACCGCCACCTCGCTGCCCCCCCACACCGCACGGTAGACCTTTCCGAAACCGCCCACCCCGATGATCTCCTCCAGGGTGAGCTCAGAGAAATCAATCTCCAGGACTGAGAGGGAGAGGGAGAGATAAACAACCAATATACCTCTTTTCAAAAGGCTGTTACATTAGTTTTTACACTCAGGAAACTCATTAGAGGGCACAGTGACCGCTCTCCTGATTTAGCCAGGCATATTCTGGCCGGAAAACTAGGTCATTTAGTGGTACGGAGCCTTCCAAAAGCAGCAGGAAGCTCTTCTCTTTCTACAGAAGGGGAAGCATCTGCCATATGCTATTTTTTGGGGGTGAATTTCGAGAGTAAAAATGAGATTTATGTGGATCAGAAGTGTAAGAAAAGCGTGCCGATGCTTGTTCGTGTTCACGTTGTGGAGTCCTGGCAGTCTGCTTAGCAGACTGACCTTAATGAATATTTCAGGTGTGTAAAAGTAGGCCAGCTGTCTCTGTGAGGATGACTGAAACCTTCGACAAAAGTGACAGAAACCATGGTTTCCGCTTCTCTTTAAACTATTTTTTGTCAGCATCAGACAGGCAAACTGACCTTTTAGGTTGTATGTTTAAAAAAATGTTTAAAAGACAATCTGCTGGTTATATTTGCCCGAAAGTCTTTCGCTTGACAAGCACGATTTCTGTTACTTTTAGGTCTCCTCCACAAACGCAACGCATAAACAAACACGCACTCCACGTCAAAGGGAAAGAATCTTCTAGGTGTGTCGGAATATCAGCGCAGTTCCGTCTGAAGGATTCCACTGGAGCTCATAGGTGGGGGTTGCATCACCCGACAGCCGCCTGGATAATGGTCCTGAGGCTGGGAGGATGCTCGGCCAGCCTGTTTCTAGGCCAACGGGAGCGCACTGCGCCCGCCATGACACAGCACTCTGAACATGGGGGGGTTGTCCGGCCAGTGGCCGGTTAGGCGACACCGGGAGACACTGGGCATGCATGCAATGTGCGTCTGTGCTTTTTTTATTTTTATTTTTGGTGTTTAGAGCAGACAGATTTCAAAGGTAGACGTATACGAGGCACAAAGGGGTACTCACGGTGCAGAGGAGGCACGGAGTAGGACTGCTGCTCCGGGGTGTCCCGGATCTCCTCCGGGATGCCTCTGCTGACATAATTGGAGGGGAAAATGCCCACCCGGTCCGCTATCATGCCGGTCCACCAGCCCTCGTCCCCGGACACCAGGGAGTCCTTGGACAGCACCTCCACCACGTCGCCCTTCCGGAGGCTGAGCTCGTCGTCCGCGGTCGCCTCGTAGTCGAACACGGCGGTCCAGCAGCAGCCCCCCCCCCCGGCGGCGGGCTCCGGGCGCGGGGCAGCAGCCTCCGGACCGGTGGGGGGCCAGCGGAACACGTCCGCCTCCTCAGACGACGCCCCATCCCTGGGACTCAAGCGCTCGTCCAAAGCGGGCTTGAAGACATCCATGGACGCGATCCATAGGGGCGACGCGGGTCACTGCTGCGGCGCATCCACCTGACGCTGGGGCCGGTTGGGGCGTCCACCACCCCCCCCCCCCACCACCACCACCCCCCC